CCCTCACACCGTGACGGATGAAGACTTGGCTGCGTCGATAGACGCGTTGACTAGGAGGTTGAGCAATATGCCCGAATGGTCGGGCAATCTGATTGATCCTGCAAAGTCTGCTGAGCTGGTTGCGGCAAGATGAGGCGGAAAGGCGAGTTATGACAAGCCTGAGGCTCCTCTTACTGAGGCTGGGATGAAGAGTGCGTCATTGGAGGATCGAGCTTATGCCCTGTCGCAGCTGAATGAGATGGTGAACTTTCACAAGAAGCGCCTGTGCTCTGGGCGAGGAGCGCCGATGGTAAGTGCAGCTGCTCCCAGTGGACCCTTTGCTCCCGATCAGGTTGATGAAAGCAGAAGGTTCCGCACGAGTGAGGCGGCAAGCAAGATGACCTACAATCTTGTGGTCCTAGACGGAAAGAAAGATTATCTTGCCGATAGGCAGGAAATCAATCCAGATCTAAGGGATACTGGAGTTATTCCTGATGAGGCCGCTACATGCCAGATTGTGATTCCCTCGAAAACAAGGTTGAGCGAGCGTCCCGAACTACGAGGAGACCGCGGGCACCGTTGCAGGGCGGGAGGCGGCTCAGGAGTTGATGAAGCTGCTCTCGTTCGACTTTGAAGGTCTGGTCATCAACTCGAAGAAAGTCTCGGAGTTATTCGAGGAACGGATCCTGAGAAAAACGGGACGTGAGGCTGGAAACACGGCGAGATGTCGTGGAAGTTCTTCATTCCGACGATGCTCATGATCATGTACGATGGGAATGGTGTCCTCCTCAGGGAGTGCGCTAGGCTACTGGCCCTTAGGTGCACGCGGATCGGACGTGACATGAGTTACAGTGGCGGTAGTCCTTCCGGCCCACCACCAAAGTCAGGTGAAGTGCCAGCAAAAGGGTCTGGTAAGGGCGATAGTCCATCTGTCCCACAGGCAAAAGCAAAGGCTGATGCTGGGCCGGCTCCGATGGAGGTTGATGCAACTGCGGCTCAACCGAAGAAGACTTGGGTCGCGATAGCGGTTGAAGGAGCCCGGCCAAGTGCGAAGGCTAAAATGACTCCGGTTCCAAAGGCCGAGCCAAAGGGAAAGGCAGCTTCAGTTTCTGAGGCGAAGAGTGCTCCGGCTCCGAAGGCTGAGGCTAAGGAGACGAAGCAGGCCGAACCGAAGGTTGAGGTCAAGAAGGAGAAGGTAGGCGGAGACGACGCTCCTGGCGGTAGTCGGGGGTCGGCTGAAGGGCAGAAGAGAGAAAGGAAGTCTCGTTGGGATCCTGACGAGACTGTGAAGGAGTCGACGAAGCGGGAGGCATCGACGAGGCCTGATGACGTTGACAGCAGACCAGGTGCGGCAGCAAGAGAGGCTAGTGGGGATGATCTTCACTCTGCGCTTGGTAGGTCTTCGGCAAAGGACGCGGTAGCGCCTCTGACGGCCTCCAAGGCAATGGCAAAGAAGCCTGAAGGCGGTGAGATCAGGTTGCAGTCGGCTGAGCGAGCTGCGGCGAGCCCGGTGGAGGGTCACTTCCTGGTGCTGCCTGAGAGTTCGGTGGTGGACGCCCTCTTGTCAGCACCAACAGAGTGCTGAACAAGCAAGTCAGGGACTTCATCAGAAATGGTGAGGACGCGTCGGCACTGGAGGCTCTCAACCAGATCGTGACGAACTCTTGTTCTGGGAGGAGGCGTAGGGAATCGGACGTTTCCCGCACTCCTTGTCGGAGGTCCGTTAGGACCGTGGACACCAGGGATTCCAGAGAGTCGAGAAGGCGCAGATACCGTCCGCGGCGCGAGGATGATCGTGACCGGAGGAGGGACGATGCTCGTGATCGTCGTGATGATGATTCACTCGGGAGCGAGAACGAAGGCGAGATGATCGCAGGAGATCCGAGAGGGATCGTGATAGGGACCGTGCGCGGGGCGGACGTGACCAGAGGAGACGTGACAATAGCCGATAGGCTGAGTCACGAGGATTGCGGCCGATAGGCTTGCGTCCATTCTCCAATGATCGGCGCGGTGCGGAGGTGGTGATGTTCAGGAAGCAGTGTGAGTGAGAGGGAAAGCAAACTGATGGGGGGTTACTCCCGGGTTTGCGGAATTCAAGCATTTTTCAGGTACGCATGGTCAGGAGTACCTGTTGCCGATAGGCGAGGGTACTAATGGACATACGTTATCTTTTATTTCATGGCTTCTGATAAGAATTAAACTTCCTGCATTGTTGATGCAAACAGGTGTGACCTAATGTCGTCATGTGGACCTTTCCACAAGGTATGTTGGACAGCGTTACCCCGATTAATTCGGGGTGGTGGCGGGAATTTAATGTCCGGGATGTCGCGCAACTGCCTTTGTGGGTTTGCTCCACCGCTGACGGCGGTAGTGTCCAGCTGTTTGCGGACACATGCGAGCAGTTAATTCCTATCAGTACTGGCACGCTCCACCCGTCATATGACGGGCTCCTCGTGAGGGGGGTGTGATTAGCCATGGTTCATATCATCATCAGGGACGTCGCGGTAGTGACCGACCTGTGGTGTTTTGGCTCAAGTTTACGGGTTCCGTCGCGCCTCGAATGGGCGTCGCCGAACCCCTGCGTCGACCGACGGCATCTCGGGGGAGAAAGAGACCTCGGGCCGCCGCCAGGTTGGTAGGGACCAGTCGTGCGGCCTGTTGTCGACCAAGGTTGCGGGTTAACCCTTTTCTCTTTTGGTTTGTTTCCCTTTGGTTGTTGTTCTCTGGTGTGTGGGAAACCCTGATCTTTGGGACCGGGGATTGGTTTGCTGTTGGGGAACCTTTCTTTTGTGGCTTGTTTACCCCAACTTACCCATTGCCTGGGCACAGGTTCGTGCCCGAATCACACTTCCTGTAACTTGCTGACCGGCGACTGTGCTTTTGGCAGCTTGGGGAAATAACAACAGCGCAGTCGTTGAGATTCGGGCACGTTTGTCGACCAGCGCCAGAAAGATTTCAACTTTGCGCGGGTGATAAAGCAAAATTTGTGCTTGGAAACTGTGAATCTGAAGACGAATCCTGCACTTGTTTCTGGGCAAGAAAAACTCCGAAACCACAGTGGTTGATTTGATGCGTGTGTGGGGTCTTTTTTTTATGGGCAAATTGCAGACATATATTCTGAACGTGTAACGGTACTTCGCGCAATACTTTTGTTGCGATTCTCCAGCTGAAGCTGCGGAGTTGCACACAAAGTGTGTGACATTAAAGTTGCGATTCAGCCGAAGCAAAGTGAAAGTGCACTTGCGCGTTGGTTTTGTGCTGACTTTCCAACTTTGTGGAAATCAAGCCGGATAGGTTGGTGCGGCTCGCTTCCACGAGCAGGTGCGACGAGACAAACTTTCAAGCTGACAAGAAACGTTTTTTTGGCAGTCCATCTTTTTTATTGGCATTTCGTGCGATGAACGACGCCAATTCCTGCAGAAAAGATGTGTTCAATTCAGAATTCGCAAAAAGTCCCCAGTTTTTGCACATCAACCACGGGCGCACCGCGGAAACACATCGACCACGCCAATCCCCGCAGAGGTGTCATTTTGGCAGAGTGGGTTCGGTCCCACCCCGCCGCCTTGAGAGACGAAACAGTTACTTTCGTGTCCACATGTCTCGTGCGATCTTGCTTGTGCTAGTTGAAGTTGGTTTGGCTGTGCGATAAGGCTGGCGATTTTACCGGAGGTACCCTTCGCAATGCTTTCGGGTAAAACCAAGGAGAAACATGCAAACGCACAAGAGACGAGAAAGAGGAAAACAAGAAATAGAAAAAGGAAGATAAAAGATAATAACAAAAACAAATACAGAAGAAATGAGAAAAGAGAAAAAACAATAAAGGACAGGAAGGAGAAAAGAGGAAGGAGAAAGAAGAAAGAGAAAAGAGAAGAGACAGGAAGGAGAAAAAGAGCAAGCAGAAAGATAAAAAGGAATACAGAAACAAAGGAGAAAGAGCAGGACAGAGAAAGACAAGGAAGGGGGGAAAACGTGCTCCAATCTGTAGTTCTCATGGTTTATTGAACCTTTTTGACACGCGGTTTTGCCAGACATTGCCGGTTTTTCGTTCAGAGAATCGGCGACTTTGGCTCCAGAGGTCCCCAACCAGATCTTGTGCGGCTCCGGATGTCAGGCATTCGCTGGTTGCTTCACGGGCACAGCCAAGTAATTTCAGCGTTGAGAGGGTCCAGAGGAGAAGGACGCAAAGGAGAACCTGAGCAAGGCGGACGGGGTATGTTTGTGGACAGCAAGAAAATGAGGGCAGATATTGTACTATGAGAATGGCTGTTTCAACAAAGAACTTGTGGAACTCATGGTTTAGTTTTTGGACACGCGTTTGCGCCACTATGTGCCTTTATGTGCATTGCTGTGGACGCTTGCAGGTGTTTTACAGGCCCGAATCAGCAATCCTTTTGTGAAGATGATGCACGACAATGACAAAATTGTCCCGCGATGCCAAATGCGCCCTTGTCAGGCCAACCAGACATGCGGTCGAACTTCCGATTTTAACGCAACAGGTTCAATGCAAAGCACATGGAATGTTGTTCATCACGAGCATGTCAACCTTGCAACTATTACAATGCTGATGATTCACATGCTTCACACTCACTGATGCTATTCATTGAAATAGCTTGAAGCAGTGATGATCCCCTTAATGTATACAGAGCGTTGTTCGTCTTGCAGTTGCTTACGCAACTTGATTAATTACACTGTTGGAAGCTTGGCGTAAATTCGAATCCAAACCTAATTCAGGTTGACATTTGGCATTTGGCCAATTGACATGGCTGCACACTTTGCTCCAAGTGGCTCAACGCATGTTGTGGGCTCCGCGACCCAGCCCGCAGCACAGGATAATCGTTAAATTGCAGCAGGGCCGAAAACCTACTTGGCCATTGTAGGTCCGACTGACTCACTTCATGTTCACGGTTTATGGTAGAGCCTACACAAATCTCTACAACCGTGGGTGAACCAGACGTCAGCCCGGGCGCTTTGCGACCCCGTTGTTGCAGCTATTGGCATAGAAGCAAGTGCTGTGTTGCACAAGATCTTGATAGCTTGCCAAGCCCCGCGCGCTTCAGCCGTTGATGGCTGGTCCAAGTCTTTTCAACAGGCCAAGCGCGAGCGCTTCTGTGTCAAGAATACATTTTTTTTCTGGATGTTTGCAAGGGATATCAAAGGAAAACCACTGTTGAACTGGTTCCATACTCAGTTTTGAGGCATGCCGACGCAAGGATCCCCAGATCTTCCCTGCAGGAATCGCATCCCATTGGACAATGCGGAGCCGATCCCCGAACTCACCGAAGCGAATTGGAGGAAATCCACGGTGGAGGCATTGGCGCTGGGGCTCGCCGAAATGAGGACACGGCTATGGATCCAAAGCAAACCAATTTGCCCGTGGGGTGAAGGGAAATGCATGGAACCCCTCCAATTCAACGTATATATGCATATTTATCTAAACACACATACATAGATATATGATATATGATATACATACACATGCATGCGTGCGTGCGTGCATGCATACATACATACATACATACATACATACACTTACCTACCTACCTGCCTACCTACCTACATACATACATACATACATACATACATACATACATACATACATACATACATACATACATCCCCCGGGCCTAGCAGGTTCTTCTTTTCTTGTAGGTTCCCCCCTCCAATCCAATCCAATCTAATCCAACACATACATACATACATGCATGCATGCATACATACATACACCTACATACATATACATATACATACACAAACACATGTGCAGTGGCATATACATATACAAATACATATACATACACATACATACACATACATACACATACATGCATATACATATACTTATGCATATACCTACACATACACATGATCATACACATACATATACATATACACATATACACATACATATACATAAACATATACACACACACATACACATACACATATACATATACATACGCATATGGATACACATATACATATGCATATACATACACATATACGTATATATATATATATATATATATATATCCGAAGGGCGTACTTCCAGGCGCCATTTCGCGCAGGTGAAACGCGAATCTCCGTTTATTGACCTTCAGCAAAACGCCTTTTTGGTCAGCCCAAGCAACCCGTAGCAGAGGGTTCCCTAGGGCGTGTTTACTACCATGTTGTGATGAGGGATTCATCAAACAGAGGGCTTCGGCGTGTTCACTACCATGTTGTGATGCGGGGTTCATCATACAGAGGGTTCCCTTGGGCGTGATGACTGGGATTCATCAAACAGAGGGTTCCATTGAGTGTGTTTACTACCATGTTCTGATGTGGGGTTCATCAAGCAGAGAGTTTCTTTTGAATGTGTTTACTACCATGTTGTGATGTGGGATTCATCAAGCAGAGGGTTCCCTTGGGCGTGTTTACAACCATGTTGTGAGGTGGGATTGGGTTCGTGATGTGGGGTTCATTAAACAGAGCGTTTTGTTTACTACCATGTTGTGATGTGGGATTCATCAAACAGAGGGTGTATTTGGGCGTGTTTACTACCATGTTGTGATGTGGGATCAAACAGCGGGTTTCCTTGAGTGTGTTTACTACCATGGTTCATCAAACAGACAGTTCCCTTGGGCGTGTTTACTTCGATTTTGTGAGGTGAGATTCATCACACAGAGGGTTCCCTTGGGCGCGCTTCATTTACTTTCGGTAAAAGCGGAGCCTCCTTTCTCTTCTGGCTGTGATCTTGGATCTATGCAAACTCTGCTGCAAAAGCAACCGCCACAACCACAGGTGCAAATATAGCTATTGAAGCCATGACGAACCCCTGGCCAAACCTACTTCCAGGCGATCAGCTCTTGTTAAGGCAGGTTGCGGCAACCAAGCGTCATCACATGAACCCACCAAAAAATGAGAACGTTCCAGAACTGGCCGATTTCATAGAACTCTACACACACATAACCCGAGTCTCGCAAAAGGCTGACGAAAACAACGCATGGTTTTCGTCAATAAGTCCACTTGGAACTGCCTGCAAATGACTGGCAGGGTGCGGGCAAACAAGGAAAAGTATAACATGAGGGTGCTTGCAAATGCACCCGTGAGCATATATATATATATATATGAACATACACATACACATATACAAATACATATGCACACACATACACATATACATACGCATATACATGTACATACACATACACATGCACATACGCATACGCATACACATACACATACATACATAGACAAAAGGAACCTGTGGAGTGAAGGGAAACGCAGGGAACCATCGAACTTAACGTACATGCGCATGTATATAAGCAGTACACACACATATATATATATATATACATACACCTGTGTGCACATACACACACATACGTACATACATACATACATACATACATACATACATACATACACACATACACACATACATACGTACATCCATGCATACATACGTACATACATGCACACATACATACAGACAGACACGCACACACATACACATACATACACATACACATACACATACATACATACATACATACATACATACATACATACATACATACATACATACATACATACATACATACATACATACATACATACATACATACATACATACATACATACATACATACATACATACATACATACATACATACATACATACATACATACATACATACATACATACATACATACATACATACATACATACATACATACATACATACATACATACATACATACATACACACACATACATACGTACATACACATACCTACCTACCTACCTACCTACCTACCTACCTACCTACCTACCTACCTACCTACCTACAATACCTACATACATACATACACATGCATGCATGCATACATTCATAGGCACATACATACACACACATACACACATACATACACGCAGGCATACATACACACACATTCATACATACACACATACCTACCTACGTACGTACATACATACATAGATACATAGATACACACATACATACACACATACATACATACATTTATAGATACATACATACATACATACATACATACATACATACATACATACATACATACATACATACATACATGCATACACACATACACATGCATGCATACATACATCATACGTGGCATGCCTGCATACATACATACTTGCACACATGCACAGACAGATGGACAGACGGACAGAGACAGAGACAGAGACAGAGACAGAGACAGAGACAGAGACAGAGACAGAGACAGATACAGAGACAGAGACAGAGACAGAGACAGAGACAGAGACAGAGACAGAGACAGAGACAGACGGACAGACAGACAGACACATAGAGACAGACGGACAGACAGGCAGACAGAGACAGACAGACAGGCAGACGGACAGACAGACAGACGGACGGACAGACAGACAGATCGACAGGGCGGGAACTTGGGTTTTGTTCGTGCTCGGGCAAAGTCATGGCAGGACCTGCGTTTCAGCATTTTCCAGCCGCGGATTTTCTGGCGGGCAGTTCCGGACGAAACGAAATGCAACATTGTGAAGCTTCCAACTAAAAGCTTCCGAAGTAGACGCTTTGCAACGACCGCATGCAGAAAATGTAGCCCTTGCCAGCACATGGAGCAGTTGCAAGCAGCCGCTGTTGGTATATTTTCACCCGCTTTAGACCCTAAACTCAGTTGACCCTAAGCCAAAGTCTTAAGCCCTAAACTCAGTTGCCCCTAAACCAAAACATTTTAAACACTAAGCCCTAAACTCACTTGACCCAAAACAGAACCTTAAACCCTAAGCTCGGTTGACTCCAAACCAAAACCTTAAACCCCAAACTCAGTTGACCAATGGTCAACATGGCTGCGATATCACCCACATGTGGGCAAACCCTGACCCCTGACCCCGGCGTCGGCAAAGTCCGTCGAACGCGATGCCAGGCCAAGCAACACGAGCCGGAACCCCAAATCGAGTGCGCGGAGCGGGGCCGCGGCGAGCGCCTGCGGGCGCGACTGACGGAGGTGGGACCACAAAAAGGGGCAAGTCTCAGAAAATAACATTCTTTCGGGCTGAGCTTTCGGTTGGTGAACCTTTTTTTCGGGTGGTAAACCGCCAGGAAGCTTTTGGGTCGGCGTGCATCTGCAGGACTGGTCCAAGGGTGAAGCCGCGGACGTGGACGGCGCTTCCGCGGCTGGGCGCCCCAATGCCTCGAACTGGTTGAACCCCGGGGGTTTGATGTGAACGAGTTTGGCTTTGATGTAATTTTCGCAGACCTCCCCTGACACTTTTTGAGATTTGAGCAAGAATGGGATTTTTTGCCACCACTAGTGAGCATTTGGGATTTTTTGGCGGGAAAAGGGGGGGGAGGCTTGAAAAGCGTCGAGGTTTGGTCGACACCAGCTCTTTTTGCTTGAAAGGAAACTGCAAGGGATATGTCAGTGAGTTGTTTTTTCCTGGACGGAGAAAGATAGGGAGAAGACGCAGGGTTGGATCCCGCAAACATGGCCGCAAGTTGTTGGGGATGTTCATGCCAGGAACCGAATCTTGGGATGGACATCGCTTCAGTCGCGTCACGGCTAGACGAAAACCCTCTTTCTCATGGATTGGAATGAATTCGATTCGATACTCAGAGCTCCTGAAACTCCTGGAAACGAGGAAACTTGGGGATGAGCAAGGGGATGGTTCGCTTGGTGAGTCCTTCCATCTCATTCCCCGCCCATAGCGATCAGGACGCCTCAGCTGGCTCCGGCGGCTCTGGCCCGCGAAAGGAGCGCCGGGTGTGCCTGGTGCTGCTAAGGGCCACGGGGGCCGGCCAGGAGGCCTGCAACCAGGACAGGAGGTCGACTCCAGCCTTGCGAATGTTGGAACTCGCTGGTTGGATGTGAGGTTCCCGAAAAAAACGTACGGACCCCCCCAACTGGCAGAGGGCGTTCCTTTACTTTTCCCTTGAAACCGGGCACCAACTCCACCACCTCCAAGGCCGTCAGGACACCGCCATGCGGCGGGGAGCCACAAAAACGGAATTCCGCCAGGACTCCAACTTTGTGAATATGGTTTTCAGGGCAACGCTGTGTGACTCTTCAGAGTCTGCTATCCGAACTCCCAAAAAAGCATCTCACCTTGGACCTGCACTGAACTCTCCCTTTTTCCTTTCTTTCTCTCTTTCAGTTTTTTCCTCCGAGCCCTCTATGCTTGGGCTTCAGAGCCCTCGTTTTTCGGGGCTCGGACGCATTTCGCCCGATTTCTTCGATTTCGGTGCCAGGACTACCGGTACTGCGGCCTGCACCAGGGGAAGCCCATGTTCAAGGCCCAGAACGGCGCGGTGATCTACTTCAACCAGCCCACCGAGCAAGCAGCGAAAGGTCTTGGGACGCCGAAGGTGTTTTTTTTTGAGGTTCGCATCACGGATTTTTCTTTGGCAGGGGTTCGGAGGGGGGGGGGGGGGAAAAGGTTCGACCTCGTTTTGATCGTTGATTCTTCTTTGGCAAGGGCGGGGGGCAAAAAATATGAGGGCCACTTTGCCCAAAGAAGCGGCAAGGATGTCGTTGCTCGCTTCGGAGCAACGCAGAAAAGGTCCTTTAGGACCGGCACGGGAAAAGGCGCCAGGTTCGGGAAGCCAAGGTGCTGGAAGATGAACAACATCTACAAGACCACAGGCGGCTCGGTGCACCGGTGCCGCCCGCTCGGTGCAGCAAGCTCGTAGCTCATTGTTGCAGAGACGGATGTTGGCGCTTGGCACTTGCCATGTTTTGTCCTTCCACACCGGCCGTCCATTGATCTCACAGCTGGGCAACAAGGGCCCGGCGGGTTGGGGGTGTCTCTTTTTTTTTTTTGCCAAGTTTCCTGCATTTGAAGCATGGTCGTGACCCACTTGCGGCGCGAAAAGTGGGAACGGTTTTTTAGGAGGTAGGCAGTTTCGACATCGTGCCTCATCTTCAAGACGAGATGTTGCAAGCAGTCACCGTACCTGTCAATTGAAACGGCCTCTTGCATTCCAAGGCTGGGCAGCTTCCAACTGCAAGCGTTTCAGTCCAGTTTTTGGCTGTGACCCCCAAACATCGGCAGTTTTTCCGGCTCCAAGTGTCTTCTTTATGTCGGGCGCCTCTCGGTTTCTGGTTTTTGCCTGGGAAGTCTCGGAAAGATTCGGATCCCTTTCTGAGGGCAAACCTTAGCAACTCGCCATGTCCAAGTTTTGGGGATGGACCTGCCCTCAACCTAGCTGAAGCCCCAAAACGGCAGAACACGTGCCGCTGGCAAACAGCGACGCCAGCACGTCTACACCAAACAACCCAAAGTGCTCGGTTCCCACACCAGCACCCCAATCTCCCAAAAAGAAAACACCCTTTCCCTTTGCAAAAAGTGGAATCACTTTAGAGGGATGAGCAAGCATTTCAGGGATTTTGGCTCTACTTAGAACCGCCGAAGAAATTCCTTTCCCTTGAAAGAGTGGCTTTGCACCAGCTCCCTGCAAGCTCCAAAGCCACGATCTTCAGAGGTCGCAACCCGCCCGCCGCCCAGGCTGGGTCTACTGCGCGCGGCACGGCGCCGGCCCCTGGCCGGCGGAGGGGCGCTGGAGCTCTGAGGGCACCACCGACCCCAACGGCGCAGGGGGCCCGGGGTGGGGTGAGGGCCGTGGGGGGGGCGGCTTCGGTGGCTTTGGGGGCAGGCCAGACATGTGGGGTGTTTCTTATTATTTGTTTCGAAAAAACTGATCTGGACCCTACTCAGGGGTTTAGGGTCATATTCAGGTGGAAGGAGGTAGGGCCATACTCATCAGGGGTGGTTCCCCTTTAGTGCAGACTCGAGTCATTTCGGGGCGCCGCAGCTTCCGAGGCAGGTCGACCCCCGAGCCTGGTGCTGATTGACGAGCCGCTCGCATGCCGAGAGTGGAGTGGGACTGCGTGGAGGGGTCCCGGGTGAGGGGTGTCCGAAAGGGCTTGAGCAGATTCTTGTGGTAGGTAGAATTGTTTCATGTAAGAACACAAGCAAAATCCAGATCCAGCAAAAAAGAATACAAGCAACACAAAAAAAAACCCACAAACAAAAAAGAATACAAACGCAAACACCCCACTTTTTTTTCCACCTCCGCTCGGCTTCTTCTCCTCGCCGCGCCTGACCAAACCTGACCGAGGCCCTTGCCCAGGACGGTGGGTGAGGAGAATGGCGCCATCGTCCTGGAAGATGGCCAGAAGGTGAGGGAGTCTGGGAAGAGTCGGGTCCGTCTTTTTGCTTGCTTCTTGAATCCTTACAGGTTGTGTCGGCTTCCTTTGCTTTCTGCTTCCATTCCGAACGGCGAGCTCCCGGCTCAAAAAACCGGGAGCTCCATTGGCGTACGCAGGTGCTGAAGCGAGAGGAAAACAAGAGCTGGCGCTGGAGCGAGGTGTTTCTTGGCTTACTTATCCGGGTGGGGGGGGGGGTGGTGGGGGGGGGTTGGTGGGGGGTGGGGGGTACGCGATGTTTGACGTAAACGAGTGGAGCAGGAACACACACAAAAGGCACATGTAATCTCTCCCTGGAAGGGAGATTCTTTTTTGCTTTTTCGGAACACGGCAACGAGTCTTCCGGAGAAAAAGAACACATGGTGTCTTTTGGGCCTTCTGTCTTCATCCTTAGCACTCCAAGTTTCGATCTGCGGCGCTCGCTTCGTGCGGAGGCTGGTGCGGAGCAAGGAGGACATCCTGCGGAGCCTCGAGAGGGAGGCCGAGGGCCCGTCAGGCCTGGAGAGCAGCTGTTCCAGGGCTAGCGAGACATGGGGCGCTCGAATGGCTCGAAATGAATTGGAACTGAAGAGTCCTGGAGCCAGGGCTGTGGTTAAAACCTTTTATTTTTTTTTTGGGGGGGGAAGGCTGAAAGGCTCCCATTTTTTTTTGGGGAGCCGCCCACATCTTTCCTTTTCTATTTCTTCTTCTTCCCCCCCCCCTTTTTCTGTGTGTTTTTTTTGAGGGGGGAAGGCCAATTTTTTGGAAGCCGCCCCCCGGCGCTGAGTCCAAAGTTTTTCTTTGGATCTCTAGGCCTGCGCCCGGGCTTCCTGGAGCCGCCGAAGGCGGCCAAGGCGCCGCCGAAGCCGAGGCCGGCGGAGTTCTGGGAGGGCGCGGAGGTGGAGTTCGACCGCTTCTCCGATGGCCCGGGAAGCCCAGAGGGCGATGGGTTGGATCGTTCTTTTTCCTTTGTTGATGTACTTCTCTATTTGTTTGTTTGTTGCAATTTATTTGTTTCTGTTTGTTGTTTGATTGATTGATTTCTATTTATTTGCTTCTGGTTTGTTGTTTGTTTGATTGGTTGATTGATTTGATTTGATTTGATTTGATTTGATTTGATTTGATTTGATTTGATTTGATTGGATTGGATTGGATTGGATTGGATTGGATTGGATTGCTTGCTTGCTTGCTTGCTTGCTTGCTTGCTTGCTTGCTTGCTTGCTTGCTTGCTTGCTTGCGTGATTGATTGATTGATTGATTGATTGATTGATTGATTGATTGATTGATTGATTGATTGATTGATTGATTGATTGATTGATTGATTGATTGATTGATTGATTGATTGATTGATTGATTGATTGATTGATTGATTGATTGATTGATTGATTGATTGATTGATTGATTGATTGATTGATTGATTGATTGATTGATTGATTGATTGATTGATTGATTGATTGATTGATTGATTGATTGATTGATTGATTGATTGATTGATTGATTGATTGATTGATTGATTGATTGATTGATTGATTGATTGATTGATTGATTGATTGATTGATTGATTGATTGATTGATTGATTGATTGATTGATTGATTGATTGATTGATTGATTGATTGATTGAGTGATTGAGTGATTGATTGATTGATTGATTGATTGATTGATTGATTGATTGAGTGATTGAGTGATTGATTGATTGAGTGCTTGATTGATTGATTGATTGATTGATTGATTGATTGACTGATTTGATTTGATTTGATTTGATTTGATTTGATTTGATTTGATTTGAATTGAATTGAATTGAATTGAGTTGATTGATTGTTTTGATTGATTGATTGATTGATTTCTATTTTTTGCTTGGTTTGATAGATTTGATTTGAGCTGTGTTGATTTGATTGGATGGACTGGGATGGGGTTGGATAGACTTCCCCCCGCGAAACACACATCGCAGACCCGCCCAGCTTGGACTCTGTAGTGAAAGCCCGATGGACGCCAAACAACAAATCTGAAGGCCAGTTTCATGGTTTCCCCTCGTGGCCGAAGCCGGCGGAACCCAAAGGCTTCGGACGGAAAAGTGCGAAGTCTGGGGTGACTCTTGGACAATCTCCTCCAAACACCACCTGGTGACACAATGGACTGTTGATCCTGTTGATCCCTCGACGTGGATGTGCCCTTGGGTGCTTTGACCGTCTTGACTCCAGGGTTGTGTGATCAAGGGGTTTCTCCCCACTGTGATACAAGGGAATCCCCCTTTATGAACAAAATCGTCTTTGGGAAGCCCTTTCTGTTGTACAGGAGTGGATTCCATTCCCCACAGCCCTGGAGTCTTGACCTTTGGAGGTCTCTCACCATTGGGTGAGATCGGATGTCACTCTCAGGTAGGACCCACTAGTTTCCGACGGGGGCTTTCGGCTTTTGGGCTTGGGTCTTCTCAATCCGTTCAGAGCATGGTTAGAAGACGGCCCCATTCGTCCTGCCATTGCAGGATTCGTTTGGGGATTTGTTTGAACCCCTTTTTTGGTTGGTTCAAAGAGAAAACAAAACGACCCCCCCCCTCCCCCTGCGAAAAAAAGAGAGTTTTCACTTGTTTGCGAAAGACTTTGAGATCCTTAAGGAAACCTCAAGAAGCGAGCCACCGTACGCAGCTTTTCCCGTCTCCGAGGCCGCTGGGTGCCAGCGAGGATCATCCAACGCGTCCGGCACGGGATCTACGCGTGGGGCCCAGAATGAGACCCACCGGTTGGGCGCAGGTGGAAGCCCACCTCGGAAGGGGAAATGGCTGTTGGTTAAAAAGGGGTACCCAAAATGGAGCCCTGGTAAATGGAAGCAAAGATTAAAACCTGCGTAGTTTTGAGCCAGACCCAAATGAGGAAGCCCATCATGGAAATATGCAAAACTGCGAGAGGGGAAATGTAGAGGATATTTTGTTTTTGTTCATTTTGAGCCTTGCTGGTTGGGGCTAAGGGATGACCATGGCACGAACGATGAAATGGTGATTGCAGAACCGCCAGCAGGCTGGTGCCAATGTTTGAGGCTGGGCTAATATCGGTTTCCCCACCAACAGGGGTTGGTTTGACCGGTGGTCCCCAAGAAGAGTGGGTAGATCTTTCCACCATGGTCGAAAGAACGAAACAAGAGCAGAAGTTTTGACCCAGGTGTGTGCTTCTTTGTGTTTTTCCCACTTGGCACGATCAAAGCCCGTGGACTGTTCGTGGCTCGCCAGAAACAGCGCATCAAAAAGCAGCCTTTCGATTATTCAAACACTGTTCTTGGCTGGGCCTGTAAAACTCACCTGAGTCGCAATCAGAACCCGGGTAAGTGACGGTTCGTAAGGGACAGTCCCAACCATAAATAGTTGCGGGAATCCGCCTTCTTCATTCACATGGTTTGGGTGGACCATACTACCAGGTTTTGAGCAAGTGCCTCACCCGTGGCCTCACCTGGCCCAGATTTTGATTTTCTATTGAACACCACCACCCAGCCACCCCACCGCCCCCCCCCCCCTCCGCTTAATGGGCTTCCACACCTTCGGAGCTTTTAGCGGCGGCAGAGCCCCCGAGCCGTCAGCCGCCGTGAGGATCTGGACCTAGAGCCCCAGGTTCCGGGCAACAAGATCCGCTGGCCCAACGGCCAGGCCCGGGTTTTTGGGGATACGTGGGGTGTGGCTCACACTTACACAGCGGTTACACCGGGCTTTGGTCTACCTTTCTATTTCCGGGGTCACAATTTCGGGCTCCATCCACATGAAGCCTTTGAAGTGTTACTTGGAGCGCGATTTTTTTCTGGGAGTTTCGCAAGCACGAAAAGCCAAGCCAATGCCCTGAAGCAGGTGGTTTGCAAAGATAGGTAAGTGGCCACCATACAAGAATGCGGGGCAAGGGGGGGGGGACTGACTGACCACTCTATTTCCTTACAACCGTACACCTGCAAAAGTCCTTGCTTGTTTTGTTGTTTGGAACTCGGGGATGATGACCATGTCGATTGAATCGCAGGTAGTCCGACGGGTGTTTCCTAAGGTTTGCCGAACCCCTCGTGTTTTTTTTGGTTTTCTTCTGGTTCTTGTGGTCTACTTTAAGGCCATCCAAAGAGAGTTGTCAGGCTGCAGAAAAGGAGAGAAGTTGAGCGAGTGGGCAAGAAACCAAAGAAGGATTTGAGTTCAACAATCCTAGTGCTATCTTGAAGCAAACAACTGTCCTGGCTTTCTCTTTTGTCGACATCAAAGACGCTGACTCGAGGCGCCGCCGGCACCGCCGCGGCCGAGCGAGGCGCGCTCGGCCAAGCAGCCGCCACAGCGGCCGCCGGACCGCGCGCCGGCGGAGCGCCCGGAGCGGCCGGAGCGGCCGGAGCGGCCGGAGCGGCCGGAGCGGCCGGAGCGGACGGAGCGGCCGGAGCCGGAGGAAGCGTTCCACGTGGGCGCCGTGGTGGACTACGTGGCTCGGCGAAATTTGCGTCACCGACATGTTGCTCCTTTGTTTTCGGGCGGTTTGTTCGTACTTCGCAAGTTGCAGGCCTGATGACAGTTGTTTCAAGTATGGCGCTGGACGAAGCCTTTGATTCATGAATTTGAGGATGATCTCTCCAACGATGGCTGGATCGAAGCCACCGTGCTTCATCGGAATCGCAACGGCCGCGCATCTGAATCAGCAATTTGCTTGAGTTCACAGCGCATTGCACTCCTGCAATTCAACATGGACCCCCCAAACAAAGTCGTCCTTTTTGGTTTTGGGGCACCCCATGTTTTGGTTCCTGGTGTCAATCTGTAGGGGAGCACACGGGACTTTCGGACCTGCAGGAACCTACGACATCACCGTCATGGGCGAAGTCCCGAGCTCAGCGCGCTTGCAATGCCCTCCGCAAACCTCGTTGCCTCTTTATTGGTCTCCTTTCTGATCGCCCCTCCCCCCCCCTTCCCCTTTCCCCCCCTTCCCCCCCTTCCCCCCTTCTCCCTTCCCCCCCTTCCCCCCCTTCCCTTCCTGCAAGACACGCAGCTGTCGGCATTCGGGGCTGAGACCGTGGGCAAAGTTGCGGGCAACCGCCTGCGCTGGCCAAAGCTCATCAAGCCGGAGGCGAGGGCGGCCCCGCAGGCGGGCCGGGGGGGGGGGGGGGCCGGAGCCCACTTCAGCTTCGCCCCAAGCTCCCAAGCCTTGCAACCTTCCAATCCCTCCAATGAAGTATTCAAAACCCCTCCAAATCCAAGCCCTCCAATGCACCTCCAACCCCACCCAAATCCCACTCCACGTCAAAAACCCTCCACCCTCCAAGCACCCCTGCCTCCCGGCATCGAGGCGAAGCCCCGCGCGGAGAAGGTGGCCCGCCGCGCCCTGCGGCCCAGCGTCTCCACGCGCGAGAGCCTGGCGCATGCCGTGGCCAGCCGCAAGGCCGCGCTGCAGAAGCTGGCGACTTGGCGCCGAGCCCGAGCTGCCAACCCCGCCAAATGGGGGTGGCTCAAAATTTAAGAGCAGGGTTAGAGAGGTTTTGGTCCTTTATTTTTTCCCATTTACCCAGTCGCCATGTTGGGTACATGTTTTTGACCCACAGCCAAATGGGTGTGGTTCCAAAATGGCACCGAGCGGTAAATGGAGCCAAAGACTAAAACCAGCGGTTTGCCCTAGCTCTTTGATTTTGAGCCACACCCGAATCTCTTGGGGGAAAAAGTCGTTCTGGTTTACTTGTGTTTAAGGCACCTTTGGTTCGGGAACTGCAATTGCGGACCCATTTTTTTCGGCCTTGTGTATAGTACTGGCGCTTTTGTTTGGTACTGTTTTGCCCAGATGTTTTCCTCCCTGTACAAAAGTACAGGCCGGCCTTCCACAACTTGCATATACTTTGGTTGCCTTTGCCTCAACATAGTCCCCAACCCTTTGGTCGCGGCATCACGAGTGTTGACACCCTAGGCCTTTGGGAGGCAACATGGCTCGACAAATGCATCAGGTCGGTTTGCAGATGATCCATGAGAGGAGTTGTTGCAAGGGGCTCCTAATTAGGTGATGTCAGCGTCGGATTTAGCGCCCGGGCGGACTATTGGGTGGAGTTTTCCCCTCAATCAAAATCAACGGATGACAATCAACCAGGGGCTGCTGAAGTCCTTTCCATTGGCATTTTTCGGCCATTCATGTCAAAATCCTCTGACTGACCCCCCGGGGTCCGCTGGCGAGACGTCCGCAGCTTGTGCGGCGGCCTAAGGCGCGCAGGCCCGAGAAGTCCGGAGAGCCGGAGCAGCGCTTCGAGCCCCCGGCGCGGCCGGAGCGGCCGGGGCCGGCGCCGCGCGAAGCCGAAGCCGAGCTCGTGGTCGGAGGCGCGCCACACCCGCGAGCGGGCTTGGCTTATGGGGCTCAGGGCTTAGGGGTGATGAGGAAATGGTATGCGGAGTGTCTGTCATCAAGCACTTGTTGCCCTGAAGCGCCGCACTGTACTGTGCGGGGCAAAGAAAAGAACCTGCTGAGCCTATTGCACCGAAGCCGATGTGATGCACAGGCACCGCCTTCACGGTCCGGAGATTTGAAGGCGGGGCGATCACCGCGGATGCGCAGATTTGTCTGGAGATGTCTGGAGGACACCTGGAGGAGACGGCGCTTTCAGGCATTCAAGATCCCAGAAGAAGTCGACCTCACATCCAATACCACCTATATCTACTTACAGGTAGGCAACCCCTGCCTGCTTCACTCCTTAGCACTGCAAGTCCTGAGTTGCAGAAGGTAGGCTCTTTGTCAGGCTGTGAAGATCCCCTTTGCCAAAGGCACTGGCCCATTGATCGGGGGTTCCATATCCCATGAGGTTCCACGCCCAGTCTCTCTCTCTGTGTGTGTACTTGCGTGGCTGGGCAAAGATCAAATGAAGAGTCAACGGACCTCTCCACAATGGCTTTCTCATGTGTGTGTGGGTGTGTGCTGCATCCTACCCAAGTTTCAGAGGACCTTGGGGAGACGAGTTTCGCCATGTGATTTCGCGCTTTCGGCAGGTGAGGCACCACCCTCCCTGCACTCCATGCTCGCCTTCCTGGATGCTGAGGCGTCCCGACTGGATGGGGTGGGCCAGGATGGGAAAGGAAAGACACCCGACACTCATATGGCTGTGGGTCAAAACCAATGGTACCATTTTGGGCTAGGTGCACCACCCATTTTAGTCTATTTTAGTGGGGATTGGGATGTTCACCTAACCGGCTCACCGGGCTTTGGATGGCCATATCATGGCTTTTGTTCTCGTTGTTAAGTGGCCGGTTTGAGTGGTGCTCATTTGGCTTGAGGACGTCAGATTCAACCGGGGTGGAGAGCGGGGTTGGACCACAGGCCCCTGGAGTTGGGCTGCAAAGTGCCCGCTTTGGGTTTGGTACACCTGAGCTGGTCCACCAGCAAAAAGGTGAAGGGCGGGTCATGCGGCAGGCCTAACGAAGGGGTTGGGAGTTGTCCTCCCCTTGGTTTGGGGAAGGGTCTTGGAAGGACAGCAAAGCTCATCTCGCCATGCGGGTGCGTCTCGCCATGCGGGTCCGTCTTTTTTAACGAGTGCACCCCCCCATGTTTTGCTGTTTTACAGGCAAACCAAAAGGGACACCCCCATTTTGGCTGTTCCCTAAAAAAGGACACCCCCATCATGTACGGAAGCGTTTCCATTGAAGAACCGCTGCCGAGGCCAACTGCTTGCTTCCTACCCTTTGGGACATCTCTCCACTGGTTGGTGCGAAGCAACCCAATTCGTGTTGCTTGCCATTTCTATTGTTTGCTTTTGACGGCGGGTAGTTTGAGGGGAATTCAAATGAACACCGACATTTGCATTCCCCCATTTGAGAGTCCTATGTAGGCAACATCCCAAGACCTATCCCGAGAACGCGTGCAGGCAGAGTTCCATCCAGAAGGACGACAGCTGCTGGGACGATTTTTGAGCTGGTGGTTGATGCTGCCTAGAACTGGGAGCTCCTTGTGTTTGATCTTTAAAGTGGAAGCAAAAGGATGCAAGCCAAAAGGATTCAATCCAAAAGGATTCGCCTTTCAGGCGTTTTTTTGGTGCCTTATCGCATTGCGAAATGGCGACAGAGCTGGTAGCGGCGCACCGGGCGGAAACAAAGGTCGAGGCTTCCAGGTTTTTCGGGCCTCCCATTTGGATGTTCGGTTAAGTTTCTCTCCTGCAAAGATCGGGGCAGGTTTGCAATGGCAACGGTTTCCTGAATGGTTCAAGCCCACCGGCCGGCAAGCCAACCAAGAAACCACACCTGCATTGAACTGGTCGCCAGTGTTTTCTCGTCTGGAAGTGCGGAGCACACCACCCAATATCTTCTGGGCTGCTAGACACATTCGAAGGTGTCTCTACTTTTGTTTTTGAACATATGTGGAGGGAAACCCAGTCAGAAATCGTGGCCCACTTTGCGGAGTACCTCCTTTTGGAAACGAACCCAGCCCGACGTCACAGCCCCTCTAAAGGTTGATTCCCCATTCTTTTCAACCATCGTTCCTGCTGTTTCCCCGGGTTTTTTGGTGGTTTCCTGAAAAGAAGGATCCCTGGAAAGAATGGGGAAACCCCCAGAACCCCGCATTTTTCCTTCCCAACGTTGGCGCGCGGTCGCATGCCTCGCAATTTTCCCTCGCGTGCAGCAAGGAACATCCCGCTGACACGGGGCAGCTTGGCGGAAGCTCAAAGCTGTTTGCGCGTCGGCGCATTGGGGGTCCTCGGCCCCCAAATGCAAATGGGTGTTTTTTATGATCGGGTTTCCCGCTTAAAGCCCTCAAAAGAGTGTCAAACGACAGATTTCGGCCGAGCTCCTTCAAGGGCGTTTGGCCAGGGGCTTGGTCTTGGTTTCCAGCTTGCCATTGAAAGCGGATGCTTTGGGCTTCATTTGGGTTTGGCCCCAACTGGGGCATTTGGTCCTGTTGCTTCGGGCGCCTGCTCGGTCCCTCGAGTTCCAACGTCCCTCAAGCCCAGGCCGCAATGTGAGGGGTCTTATCAGGGGGACCCTGGCTTCCGCTTTTTGGGGGATCCTTTTGAGAATGACTTTGACCTGAGAGTTTTTCTTTGAGTCAGACACTGGCTAAGTCATTCTGGGGGATTACCCAAAGCAACAGAGCCTCACTTTTTGGAGTTTTATGTTTACGCCAAGCCACCCGTAAGAGCCACAGGTCTCGGTGTCTGACACGACACGGGGGGGGCGGGGGCACTGAAGGCGGGGCCGGATGCTACGAATGTGTCGCCCGAGGCTCCGCGCCGAACTTGGAGGCGGAGGCGAGCGCGGCGCCGAAGACTTTGGAGCTGAAGGCTCCGCAGGCGAGTGACGCGTCGGCGGTGGGCTGCGGAATTTGGTGGCGCCTCCCCCGGTGGAATTCGGTGGAAGAAACCTCACGAGGATTTCCGGATCGGGTGCGGGGGGTGCGTTTTGGTTTGCAGCCCTGGCTTTCCATCTTGGGTTAGAGAATCAGCTTCGCAGAGGGGTTGCAGTTTCCATGGGAGGGGACCCTGTCCTATTTCCGGTTGCCGAGCCCTGAAACAAGATGATTTGTTCAGTAAGGATTCCAGCTGTTAGTCGGAAGGGAGCCGTTGCGGAGCTGGTATCCCCAAAGAATACTTCTAAACGATTCCCTTAAAGGAAGCCACAAGGGAATCGTTGGTGAACAAATTTTAATTCCCTGGAAGAAGCCACAAAGGGTTCGTTCGGAAGATTGACCACAAGGAGCAGGGATAGTTTATATGAGCGTGGCTCGAAAATTTTTAGCACCAGGAATCGGACCGCAGGTTTTAGTCCTTGGTTCCATTTACCAGGGCAAGCCAAAATGGATACCCATTTTTGACCCACAGCCATATGGGTGTGCCTTTTGTTACCCTCTCTTGGCTGGTGTGAAAGGGAAACCAAACAGAAAGCTATCATTTTTGTGGGTCAATTCCATTTTGTGGGAAGCCAAACAGAAAGCTCATTCCAATTCTTATTCTCTGCTGAGAGTTTCTCAGCAAGTTTTGTCAGGTGCCGTGCCCTGCCGGCCCGGTCTCCACGTGGACTGTGGACCAGGCCATCCGCGGGAAACCCGTGGATCTCATGGATGCCGTTTTTTGTTTGTTTGTTTGGCCGTCTTTTGTTTTTTCCTCTTTTTTTTCTTATTTTATTTTTATGTTGTATTTCTTTCATTTTGTTGTGTGGAAGCGTGTTGGTTTTTGTTTTGTTGGTTTTGGTTTGGGCCATGGCTGATAGAAGCTTCCCCCAACCCCCCAATTGGCGATTTTAGTCGATGGCTCTGCTATTACCCGGCTTCATGGGGATTATGTTCGCAAGGCGCGTATCACATATCCTCTGCCACCATGTTTGCAGAGCCAAGCGGGTGAGATAACGCGACGTGCCAGAGTCAAAAAGGACTGGTAGGGTAGGGCTCCATGTCTTTGCCCATCAGCATAAGTTGGCCAAGAGCCATTTCAACGTGTGGCCAAAACAAGTGGACGCGTGGGTTTTTGTGAAGGCATGCGGAAGGTGCCACTGTGCGGGTTTGCACGACAACCTGATCATGCATAGGTTTTGGAGACCAGTTGCTGGCAGACTGGCCAAGTTGCAGCCTGTGAAAGAGGTGCTAATCTTGATGTGATGGCTAAGTCATATAGTGCCAGGGTCCGGACAAATCAGCCGCGCCTGGCAGCCTCTTCAGGTCAATCCGCTGTAAGTCTGCGCAACCCATAACCACGCTTGCCGCGATGGCTCGGGCTTGGCTTTTCCTCCTCATCTCTGGAGCTTCGTTGGTGAATGCCCACCGGGAGCGGACCTATGGGAATGAGTTGGCCGCAAAGCACTCGAACTGCTGCTACACGTGGAATTTGGAGAACGAGAAGCTCGGGAGTGGTTACTGCCACGGATATTGTCCGAATCTTGAAAGCAACACCGTCGGCTTCTCCACGGTGGAAGAGAGCTTTTGTGAAGGTAAGGAGGACTGCTCCCCGTGAGACGAATAGTCGCTCCCATGGGAGCAGCCAAGGGATGCACCGCTTTCAAGTGGCGCGAAGCTGCAAAAAGACACGGCGCGAGCTGCGGGGGATGATTTCAGAGTGAACCGTTCAAAACGTCGTGGTGCTCCGTATTCTGTTCAGGGTGGTAAAAGGAACACTCGCCCATTTTGCGTGGTCCAAATTGTGGTCTTTTTGGCACAATCCCAAGTGAAAGATAGCAGAGAGACAGCTGCATGTGTCTCAACCCCTGAGTGTCTTGTTCTCGGTTTCAGCACAAGTGCCCATGGTATATGGACAAGTTTGTACGGAGCGTTTCTGGTTTTATTCTGTTCAATGGACTGGGACATGTTTTTTCTCGCTTTGGCACTTGAGATTTCCACAACTTGCCATCACTATGCATTTCTGCTGGGTGCTGGTATGTGGCGCAATACGGGACCTCCATAATGGGTGGTTTCCTTTTAGTTCCCCTCCAAACCACCCAGAAAGGGCACCCTCCACCACTTTGAAGAAAGCTGATGCTTGATGGGCTTGCAACCAAGACTACCCAACCAGCTTCGAGCGGAAGAATGTTGGGAGCTCACGTTGTTTTCTCTTTTCGCCAACTCCGCGCAGGTGTGCCAGTTCTTGGATCACCTCGGGCTGGGCGCGATCCTCAGAGGGCTGCGAGCGATGCGAGCGACGGGGGGCTGGGATTGTGGGTGAGGCCACACACAGGAGAAGTTCAAGGCGGGCCCGGCCTTTGATTGGGAAGTTGTCCAATTTGGTGCACTGGGACATATCCATGGGTGTTGTTGGGAAACACTTTGCAGTTTTGCTTGCTGTGGTTTAGTGGGAAATCTCCACTAAACAGCTAAAATTTGATTTTTTGCTCCCCTTCCAACGTCAACCAAGTATCAGACATATCATTGCTCACACTGGACATATCGTTGGATATATCATTTGACATGTCATTCGACGTATCATTCGGCATATCATTGGACCTGGAGCAGTGAGCACTGTGTTTGGATGCAAAAACGAGCAGAGCGCAATCAGACATATCATTGGTCATATCAGTACAGATATCATTCGACGTATCAGTAGACCTGGAGCAGTGAGCACTATGTTTGGATGCGAAAACCAATCAGACATATCATTGGTCATATCCATGTGGCATATCATTGGACCTGTCTGGACCAGTGAGCACTTGGATGTCTGGCTGCCACATTGAGCCACATTCAAAACCTCTGTAGTGAAGGTTAAGGGACGATCCCAGCCAGAAATCGCTGCGGGAATCCGCCTTAGTTCTTGAAGCATGGTTCCAGATTCTGGGATTACGACCATTTTTGTACCGGGTTTTGATTGTGACTCAAATGATACCAATTTTGACCCATGCCCATATTAGTCTTTGTATGCCACCCCCCCACCTTTTTTCCAAGTTCCCTAAGCTCATAGCTCAACTTGAGGGGCTTCAAAGGGAGCCCAGGGAGACGAGCGAGCCGAGCCGAGCGAGCGAGAGGAGAGCGCGGTGGACGGGCAGCTGCTGCTGGGCCTCTCGGAGGAGGAGCTCTGTGAGGAGCTAAGCTTGCGGAAGCTCCAGGCGACGGGCTCTGGGGGGATGGCGCGGGGTCTGGGCGGGGGGCTGGGGGGTTCGGGATGGTCGGGGCTTCTCGCGGCGTTTTTTTTTTTTGCCACCCCAAGAGGTGCCGATTTGTTTTTGGTTTCCGGCCCCAAGAGGCAATCCCAAGCGCCCCAGTTGCCCAGCGAGACTTGGCCCAAAATTTGGGACTGGTTGCCAAATTTCGGTGTGGCTCCAAAACCCGGCACCGAAATGGGTTGCACCAAAATGGGTCGCCCGATCGGCAAGTGGAAACATGGACCAACACCGGTTGGCCCTAGCTCTTTCACTTGGAGCCACTGCCATAGGGTTGCCATGGGGTTGCCATAGCAACTCCCCGATTTTTTTACCGGGATGGGTTTCGAAACCCGGTTACCTACCATGCGAGAAATGTTTCATGGGCGCTAAGGCGTAATGCCTGAAGCATTGAGAGGCCGGAAAGTTCAGGTGAAGCAACCGAAGAGGAGCGCACATTGCATAGGTTTGATTTTTAGATGAGCCTGGTTAAAAGTAGATGACCCGCCAAACCCGTGCCCAGCCGACCGCTTGCTCGTGGCCCTGAGGCGAAGAAGCTCTTGTCTCGACTGCCGACACCTGGCCATGGAGAGTCACGTTTTGGATTTGCAGGGTGTCCTTTGGAGGGTGCCCTTTTGGGGATGTTTTCAAAGGGATCAAAAAGGAAGGCCACCATTTTTGTTGGGTCCTGTCCTGACACATCCAGAATATGTGAGTCAGTGGCAATATCATTGTTAGTCTGATGTTAGTTGAGTTCTTGATAGGCGAAGTAGCAAGATGAGAAATATGGATGTGTCGTTCTTTGAGGCTCGGAACCCTTTGCGGTTGGAAGTTTTCGAGGGAAGCCAAAGGGAAACCGTATTTCTTTGGTCTCTTCGCGGTTTTACATCAGAGCCATCCACCAAGAGAGACTGTGAAGAGGGGTTGACCTTTCGGCAAAGGTTGCCCTAGGCTGAGCCATGTCTAACATTGCGCTGGAATGATGCAGGCAACTGATGTCAGCTTCAAAGAATTTGTTGCAGTCCAGCAGGCCACTCTTTCAGACAACTCTCTGCAGACAGCCTCTTACCCTCCCTCCCACTAACATAGCACCTCACAGAAAGTTTGTTTAAAAGGAAATTGATCTTCCATGTTTGTTGGAGGAAGGGTATTTCTCTGGGGATCTTCCAAGTTTTCTCCCACAGGTGCCTTCCGTTTGTGGGAGGAAGGACATTTCTCTCGGCAGAAGCCGGTCCGCTTGAGCCCGAGGACAGACAGCGCATGAGCTGCGCGGACAAAATGGCGGATGCGGGCCAGGAAGGGCCCCCATGGAGCGCTGGCCGTTTTTCCGGTGCCCCGTTTTGGGTTTAAACTGGAAAACCGAACAAATTAAACTTGTATATGTATATATATATATATACATATTTGCAAAAAAAGGAGAGAAAACACCAGCAAAAAAGAAAACAACGGAAAAACAGCAACTGTTGGGCGGGGAGCTCATCAACTTCTTGAGCCATTCTTTTGGGGCTTCCCCTTGTGGCTCGCTGGCTTTTAATTCTTTGCGAGGGTCGCAAAGGCTTCAGCCGTGGCTTGAAATATTCGCCGCCAAGGGTTTGGGGGACATACATTCGATGCATCCGATGCATCCAACATAAAGTTTCATAGACGAGCACAGGCGCGCACATATGAGACCTACCTATCCATTCATCCAGCCAGCCAGCCATCCAGCCAGCCAGGCAGCCAGCCAGCCAGCCAACGATACATACATGCAGAACATGCACACATACATGCATACATACAAGCGCGCCAACCAATAAGCACATGCCAGGCATACACTTTTGCACGGGCTGTTGCCAAACCAGCGTGCCACCATGTCCGCGCGGGAGAAGAAGAATGCCCCAGCTGCAGTTCCGGCGGCTCCAGCACGGGAGTACCTGCGCTTCGAGGCGCGAATGTGGGTAGCTCCCTCCCACAAACGGAAGGCACCTGCGGGAGGGGTACCCTGAAGATCAGTTTGCCCTGGGGACCCTTTGTGAGGTGCCATGTTAGTTGGAGAGAGGGTAGGCAGTTTGCTAGGTTACTAGGTGGCTCCCAAGTTTCATGCAGGTGATTGTAAGGCGTATATAGATCATTAAAGCCATGTTTGATCAGTCAAAATATCCGGTAGATGGTTCAGAGGACGAGCTCTACATTTCACCCAGACAATGAGGGGACCCAATTTCCCCCATGACTTTTTGGGGAAGCGAGTGATATTGTTGGGCTCATTTGAGCAACGGTCAATACTCATTTCTCATCTAAACGGGGTTGACGTGCACACCAACCCCAAGCTGCTGGGAAAGTGCTCCAATGTCATGAGTTTGGACTGGGCTGTTGCTCTTGCGTCAAATGGGCCAAATTGGTTTCTCTTTGACGGCATATGCGGCATATGGACGGCTGTTGGCCGAAAGGGAGGGAAAAAGGGACATCAAGCGTGAAAACCGCCCCCCCCCCCCCACATGTTGCTTTCATGTTGACCTCCAACCCGCGGGGCTTCGGTTTCCCTTGAACAAGCAACAGCTTCTATTCTCTTCCCATAAAAGGTGGTAAACCATGTTCCCAATGAGCCTCTCTTGACTACGTGCGCATTAGTTACTATAAACCCAAAGCAACCCACAGTCTGCTTTTACCCTAAACCCTAAGCCCACATTTTGCCTTGTTGACCGGTTTCCCTTGAACAAGGACCAAGCATCAGGGCTGCCGGGGGAAAACGAGAAGCGGCGCCGGGCGGGCGGTTCCTTCGGAAGGTGGTGGACTTCCACTGCAAGGGTCTCTCCAAGACGGTGCCGGCCAGGCACCGGGACCACCCGGTGTACATGTACGCGGGGGCGCTGGCGAACGGCGCCAACCAGGTGGGTGGCTGGGTGGGGTTTCCAGTGGGGGTTTCCAACAGCAGAACAAGATCAGCAGTTTTCTTTTGGTTTCATCATCGTGTTTCTTTTTTTGGGGGAGGGACGGGTTTGTACCAACTGAGTCTATGTCACCTGCGCTTTTCACGCAACCGAGCCCACCTTGCGATCCATACCCGACTGGCACGGGTCAGACAAGGAGGCAAGGCGTGTCTCGGCAACTGGTGCCGTCAACGAGGCTCCAAACGATGGTGGAGGGCCACACAAGTTCAGCAATAACTCAGGCGGTTCAGATGCTGATTGCCGCTGTTTAAGGCCCAGGCCGAAGGCCGTCCAACTCGCCGAAAAGCCATGAATCAGACCAGGGGCTCAAGCAAGCCAGCTCAAGCCCGAAAAGGAGATACACCCAGGTCGAACCCAAAGTCAGGTTGAATCGGGCGTGCCCCAGAACAGAGCGCCGCTACACGTGGCGTTGTGTTTCTCTTCGTTTCCCAAGCAATATGAATCCCAAAATGTACCGACTCCAAGAAAGCCATTGTGTGTGTGTGCGCGCGAGTTTTGTTTTTCAGCAGGGGGGAGCAAACAGTTGGTTTTCAAGGGAGCCATAATGAAAACGAGCACGAACCAAAATGCACACGAAGCCAAACATTTTTTTCATTTTTCCTTGGCCCAAAAGACATGCGATGCAACAGGAACATTTGCTCAAACCCACAAACTCGAACAGTTTTTTCCGGATAAGCCGTGAACTCCTAACAGGGAAGCCAACTCCAAAGAAGGCAGTCTTGTTTGGAGGAGACAGCAAGAGGAAGCCAGAAGTCAAGGATGAAACAAGCACCCAACTGCTAGAAAAAAACACACCAAACCAACACATAAACGAATTCTCCTTCCACTAAGATGGCACCTGACACCTCCAGTTGCTATTTTAGTGGGACGGCAACCAGGCAACCAGCCCCAAAGCAAACCAAGCCACAAGTGGCAACCCCAAGCGCGGCCTTCGGCTAGGCGGTGATGATCGTCCCCAAGGAGATTGCGGAGGGTGGCTGCCCCAACGCTCGGCTTGTGCCCGACTGGGCCACCGAGCAGCTGCTGCCCTGGGCCTGCCGCGACCAGGCGCCAGTGCGGCGTTTCTTTTTTTTCTTGTTGTCCCGTTCTTTTTCTTTCTTTGTTTTTTTTGGGATTCAATGACAGAAGATGATCTCAAACTGGGGGTTTACTCCCAAAGAGTTTTTTTTTTCCGCATTTTTTTTCTGCGTGGCAATGAGCCTAGGAAGGCTTTGGTGCATTTTGCCAAGGGATGTTAGGACTTGAACTTTTTGCCAACTGATGGGGTTTTTCCGTATTAAACAACTAAAAGTTAAACTTTCAGCAGGGGAGCAGAAAGCAACCGAGAAGGGATGCGATGACAGAAGCTTAGCTCAAACTTGGGGTTTACTCCCAAGAGTTTTTTCCTGTTTGATGGAAATTTGATAGAATGAGATCCAGCCAATTTCGGATTTCAGCTGGATGTGGTGGAAGCACATGGGGTGTGTTTCCTTTTTAGGGGGGACCCCGCCAAAATGTGTTTTTCCGTTTGGCTTCCCTGTCAACCAACCTTCAAATGGGGGCCCCTCAAAAAGACAAGGCCTTCTTAAAGTATGGCTGTGGGTCAAAACCAATGGTACCATTTCTGGGTAGGTGCCCATGTTGGTCTATTTTAGTGGTTGGATTGGCATGTTCACTGAGGGCACGATTTGGCATTTGACCCATGGCCATATCTCCCCTCCAATGTCTTCCGCTTCCGCAAGGCGGTGGTACGCCGCGTCTTCTGCGACGTGGAGGGCCTGCGCTGCACCCCCCGCACCTTGTGCGGCCGGATGCTGGCGGAGCTGCGGAACTTCGAGGGCGCCCTGGGCGCAGGGAGGGTCGGTGGAGAAACCGCGGCTTTGAGGGGCTGCGCTCGCCTTTTTTGTTTGTTTTTGTTTCCTTCTCTGCCCCCTCCAGCCCACAAGTCCTCTCTGTTTTTTGTCCCCCCAACAGCTGAAAGCTTTGGGGTCTCAGCCCAGATAGGCTCCGGGGTGGTCCGGGGCGGCCCTGAGGCAAGGTTCCACGAGGGTTCCACCAGGGTTCCACCACCAGGGTTCCACCAGGGTTCCACGAGGGTTCCGAGGGCTGCGGGGTGGTGCGAGCACTAAAAAGAGCACCGCATGCTGTATTGTTTTGCTCATTTGTTAGACCCTCCCCTCCCCATCTGCCAACTTTTCTCCCACCCTCCTCCCCCCCTTGCCACCTTGCCCCTCTGCCCACGTCTCACCTGCCCCCCCCAAGCCACCCCCCCACCTCCCCCACCTGCCCCCCCCCCCCAAAGCCGCTGCCCAGGCCAGGGCCTGGAGCTCTTGGCCGGCGGGGAGTTAGAGTTCATCATGGCCAAGCCCAGCGCCGCCGCCAGCGCCGTCTCCGGCGCCGAGGATGGCGCGGGCCGCTGGGAGCCGCTCTTCCGGGGCCTGGAGATCTTCACCACGCTGCAGGGCTGCAAGGCGAGGTGGGAAAGGGTGGCAAAAACGACACGGATCTATTTGATGTTATTGTCATTGCCAGGGAAATGTGTATTATCTTTTCCTGCAGGATTTGTTTGGGAGGAATTGAAAAAGGAGGGTTGTTTCTCTAGGATTCACAATTTCCCCAGTTGAACAAGGTTGCTTCACAGTTTCGCAAACCCTGCGAGGTCATGGACTTTTGCTACGCGCCCCGGCCAAAGCGACGTTGGGAAGAAAGCGACGGGGGAAACATAGGGCACTCATTGGACAAAGCGCGGTGGATAAACAGGGAAAGTGAATGATCTTCTGCTTCTTCTTCAACTCTTCCCTTTTGGTCAGGAGCTGGAGCGGAACATGGAGGCGGTCGGGGTGGACGTGCTCACCATGAACACCGAGTACGGAGAGGGCCAGGTGCGCCGCTTTTGCCGACGGCCCCCGAAATTTTGCGGACGCCAAGAGGTGTTGTTTCTGCAGACTTGCGGCCGGCACATGTTTGCCCAACGGGGCATGGATGCTTCTCAAGAAGGGAAGACGAAAGGAGTCGTTGCCTCGTCTTACCGGTGGGTCAACCCTGGGGTTGAGAAGTTGGGAGAGTTCAGTGAGGTGCTTGGGACCGTCAGCGAGGTTTGTGCCGCCTTATCGCAAGAAAGGGGGTCAATCATTTGACACATGGAACGCAAATACTCAGATCCCTACTTGTTCCCTTGCCAGGGTGTGGATCGTGCAGGTCGCCGGTTTTTGCTTGGTACGGAACACGATCACCACAAGGTACATATCTCTCCTCTTTATATATATATACACGCTAACAGATATATATATATATATATATATGTATATATGCTACCCCCCTTCCAAATCCCAGGTTTTGAACCTGGACAATGGCCAAAATCCCTGGAGACAATGCTATTCTTGAGAAACACGTGTATGTCCGCCTCTGCGAAACGCAGATTTTTCAAGTTCAAGCAGTAAATGTTGGCAAGTTCAATTAGTTAGTCAAACAAACAGTCAGCAAGTCAGCTAACTAGTCAGTCAAATAGTTGTAATGAATTAGCTCTAAAGCCAGTTAGCAGTTAATTGGCTAATCAGTTAGTTATCTATTTAGCTGCCTACTTAATTAGATAATGCTGAAGGTATTCCCCTAATATTCCCCTTCCTTTACTAGTGAATATTTGGGGAACTCTAGGGGGCAGTGAGGAAACACTAGGGGTATAGCAAGAGAATACTAAAGGAATACTAGGGCAATACTAGGGGAATACTAGGGCAATACTAGGTACATACTCAGGGAATGCTAGGGCAATATTAAAGTTGAATACTAGGATAATACGTGGGAATACCGAGGGAATACTAGGGGTGTACTCTCAAGCTCAATCAGTCTGACTTCTCTCAGGCTTCCTGACTAGGGCAATACTAGGGCACTAGGGAAGTACTAGGGGAATACTGAAAGTGAATACTGGAAGAATTCTACCGGAATACTGAGAGAATACTAGGGGTATACCAAGAGAGTACTTGAGGAGTACCAGGGCAATACTGAAGATATTCCCCTAGTATTCCCCATCCCTTTACTAGGGGAAATAGCAAGGAATACTATGGGGTAGTGAGGAACTAGGGGCTTACCAAGAGACTACTAAATGAATTGAATAATAGGGCAATACTAGGGCAATACTAGGGGAATACTAGGGCAATCATAGGGCAGTAGTAAGGAAATACTCAGGGAATACTAGGGCAGTATTAAAGGTGAACACTAGGAGAATACTAGGGGACAATACTAAAGGTATTCCCGTAGTAATTCCATCCCTTTACTAGGGGAAATAGCACGGGAATACTCTGGGGTAGTGAGGAAATACTAGGGGTATACCAAGAGACTACCAAATTAACTGAACACTAGGGCAATAATAGGGGAATACTAGGGCAATCATAGGGCAATACTGAGAACATACTCAGTACTAGGGCAATATTAAAGGTGAACACTAGGAGAATACTAGGGGAATTCTGAGGGAATACTCGGGGTATACCAAGATAATACTAGGGCAATACTGAAGGAATTCCCCTAGTATTCCCCTTCCCTTACTAGGAAATACTCGGGGCAAGAGAATACTAAAGGAATACTAGGGCAATACTAGGGAAATACTCAAGGAAGACTAGGGGAATACTAAAGGAGCATACTAGGAGAATGCTAGGGGAATGCTGAGGGAATACGAGGGGTATACTCTCAAGCTCAATTTGTTTGACCTCGGTTTCCTGGCTAGGGCACTAGGGCAATACTAGGGGAATACTCGGGAAATACTAGGGGAGTAATAAAGGTGAATACTAGGGGAAAACTGATTAAAAACAAACTGAACGAATAATATTAAGAAAACACCTGAAAAACCAAGGATTCAGGGTGACATGCCTGGGGGGGCCCCCATGTCCCCCTGAATCCTTGGCTTTTCAGTTGTTTTTCTTCTTCAGTTTTTTTTCCAGTTCTTTTTCCCCAGTTTGTTCAATTTCCAAAGCGCTTCCTTGAAGAGATGCCCTTACGCAATCATAGTGCTTGGTTGCAGCATTGGCTGCCAAATGAGAGGCTTTTGACAGATGCAGACAGTGGGCCTCAAAAGTGTGTGTTCTGGCAGATGCAGGTTTTGGTGACAAAGCACTGTAAATACCAGTGTTTTGTCACAAAGCCTGTTTTTTTTTGGGGGGTACATATATATATATATATACATACATATACACATGTTTTCATCTTGCTTTTCCTTCCGGTACCCTTTTGGGCTTCTCTTTTCGGGCGACCAAGGAGCTCCCTCCCCCCATTTTTGGGTTTTTGGCGAGTCGCCCAATGCCCCAGCTTCCGCGGGCAGGTGGAAGTCACCTTCGCCCCGAAGTTCGGCGTCGAGGCGGCGGACATGATCGCCACCTGCCGGATGGGCACCAAGGAGCCGGGAGCGAGCGAGCGGTTTTTTGGCGGTTTCTGGGGAGTGAGTTGGCGAGAGTCCAAAGACCTGAGTCCAGTTGGTGCGGAGCCCTGGACATTTTTTTGCAAACCAGGCTTTTGGGCGCTATCTTTAGGGATCTTTGTGTCAAGTGGTTTTGCATGTCGTGGCCAGGGGCAGTCTCAGCTTTGGATCCTGGGAAACCAGTTTTGCTTCGGAAGGGTTCCATGTTCGCCGGTGGAAGGTTATCCCACAGAAAGATTGGAATCTCCTCCCGGGCCGACGGGCTTTGGGGTTCCTTCTGCACAAATGCAGAGTAGGTGCGGCAAGAAGATCTCTTGATTCACTACCATAGGTTTTGGGCGGACTGCAATATTTGATGATGACTCCGTCGGTGTCTCCAAATCGAGGGAAGCCAAAATCCACCGCCGGTTTGGGCCTTTTGGTCTCTTGTTGTGGTGGTTCATTTTTTCCCCAACAGATGAAAGCTTTGGGGCCTCAGCCCAGATAGGCTCCGGGGTGGTCAGGTTCCACGAGGGTTGGTTCCACCACCAGGATTCACCAGGGTTCCACCAGGGTTCCACCAGGGTTCTACCAGGGTTCCACCAGCATTCCACGAGGGTTCCAAGGGCTGCGGGGTGGTGCGAGCACAAAAAAAAGAGCACCGCATGCGGTTGGGGATATGACCTGAGGTTATTTGGCAAAGATCCTACTGAAACGATGTCAGCGAACGCGGCGTCTTCCCCCCAAAATCTGTCACCAGGAGATGGCGCAGAACGCGGGCCTCCGCGCGGTCTTCCTCACGAAGCCCTTCGGCGGCAGCGCCAGCGGGGGGCACTTCAACTTCTCCATCTGGGCCCCGGGCGGCGCGCGGAGCGGCGGCGCGGACGTGATCTCCCGGGTGACCACGGGGAAGCTGAACTCCTTCCATTCGGCGGAGGAGAGGGGTGGAGTTCGGCCGAGGCTTTGGTGTAAAGACATGGTTTTTGAAGTTTGAAGTTCACTTTTGTGTGTTCAAAGAACCCCTTGTGGTTTGAGGGGGACAGGATGAGGTTGGTTGAACTTGAAGCAAATGTTGTAACCCATCTTGGTGAAGGATGAGTTGGGGCTCTCCCCCACAGCCAGGCGGGGGTCGAAAGAGCCGTGGTTCAGGAAAGCTGCGTTTTGGTTTGCCATGTTCTAGAATGCCAACAAACTCCCCCTTAAAATGTCAAAGTAGTCACAGGAATGGTCCACTTCAGTATCACAGAAAGGTCCCACAACCAGAGCCCTTGACTTGATTTATACTTATGGCAGTGCCCTGTTCGAGTTGGCGTACCCTTTGCGCTTGGTTGTTTGGTGGAAGCCAAAAGGAACAACTGGAGATTCCCCATTCGGAGAGGCACAGAAGGCTTTTCCTTGCAAGAGACCATGGCCTGAGCCGGACGGCGGCTTTGAGTTTTGACACGTGGTTCCACAACGCCAACCCATGTATTTCCGATGTCCACCCGAGGTCTAACCAATCAAAGCCCATGCCCACATGCACCTGTTGACTTGGTACGGATGGTCATGGACCCAACTAGAGAATTCAGACAACCATGACAAAAGTTCCGTTTTTCAGAGAGCCATGACCATGATCCACATTAAAGGTTTTGACGCCCACAACACATTACATGTTGGATGTGGTACAACCTACACATTTTATTCTTGTCCCGCCACCGCAGTTTTCACCTGACCTGCGAGGTCCTTCCTGGCCGGGGTCCTGGCGCACGCGCCGGCCATGGAGGCGGTTTGCGCGCCGACGCCCGCCTGCTACACGCGGCACGGGATGTGGGCGCCTGCGCTGGCCAACTGGGGCATGGACGACCGCCCCTCGGCCCAGTGGGGCCGGGTGTGGGTGCAGAGGCTGAGTAGGGAATGACCCAGGAGGTTTGGAATGAAGCGTTTGGGGATGCCCTTAAAGGAAACCACCAGTTGGATGGTTTTTATGGGGGTCATTCCAATTCTGAGAACCAGCAGGTTATTTTCCTTTTGGCTCAGGTTTCCCACCAAAGAACTAGTCAATCCCAAACAGAGTTCCCTTTTTCTCCAGGGTCACTGAACTGGGACTCCCCTCAACCTGGAAGCACCTTTCCACTTCCTGCAGCTGAGGCGGCATTCTTTTTTTTCCGCCGCAAGCCACCCGTGGGAGGCAGTTGGGCCTAACTTTTAGGAACGATCAACGGTAATTTTTTCGCACTTACGATCGTTTCCCAGCAAACAAGCAGAAGAGAAGCACTTGTTGTAGCGGGGCGGTTAGACCAAACACTTGTTGCAACGCAAACACGACCGGCAAGCAAGCAGTTCGCCATCCGACTGTTGCCCTGCCACGAGCAAGCAGGTAACAATCAACAGTTTCACGCTTGTTCATTTTTTTGGAAGCTGACTGTTCCCCCCGCAAAAGACAAACAACATACTCACCAGGCGGCAGAAACAAACACAAACACTCACAAGGCGGAGACATAGCCAAACCAAACAACACAGGTGTCACATCATCTTTTGTTTTTCCCGGGCCAAAAACCACCCGCCGTGGCACGCCAGGCCTCGCCTGCGTCCGGGTGAAGGCGGACAAGAAAGGGCCCCCCGGCAGCTGCTACATGGAGTTCCGGATGCCCTCCTCGGCGGCGAATCCCTACCTGGCCCGGGCTGAAAAAGTGTGTTTTGGGGGTTGGGTTTTGACGGGTTTTCCCCCGTTGGCATCACTCGTGAAACGGTGGTTTTGGGGGTGGTTGGTCGCCTTGTTTTTGTCTTTGCCCATATGTGTGTTGTCGCTTCTTCTTTTTTTTAGGTCCCTCCGGTAGACATCGTTTAGGATACTTCATGTCCACCATTTGGAAGGGTATTCTTGAATTTCATAGCCACGTGTCCAGGGAATATCCTCGGGCTTTGGAAGATTTGAGTACGTGACGCGGTCAACACATCCAGTCCTTGGTCAATTTGGGGGATTGGAAATGCGGCAGGTTACACGCTGGATGCTACATGTTTCATTTTTGGTTTTCCTTGACTACTTGTTGTCAAAGCCCCCCCGACAGCTTTTCGGCCGTCTTTCCATTCCGCCACTCCCATTTGCTAAGTTGGTCAGAGTTCATTTTCGATTGATAGATATTTCGATCATAATGAATGTGGCATGGCTTTGGTTGGATGTTTCTGGAGCGACCGGCAACCACAGAGAAATCCTTGATTTCCGCTTTGGTTTGAAAGGAACCCTCAGAAAAGCCTTCTCTGCCTCAGAAGCAGGAGCCACGCACACCCCCTTGAACATGGGCCAATCGCACGTTGCTGACTGAAATGGGCTTCCCGCGGCACCCATTTTTAGCAGCACCCGGGGCTGGCTTGCATTGGGCTTTATTGACACAACACACTTCCATCAACTCTGAAGAAACGGTTTCGATCGACCCTTTCTGTCCAGCTGCCCCCCCCATCTTTGCCTACACAAACAAAGGGCACAGGCACCCCACCCCTGCCCTTTTTGCACTCACCTGCCCCCAAGCCTCCCCCATTCCCACCCCCTCCCTTCCACTGCCCCCCCAACCCCTCCCCTCCCCTCCCCCTCCCCTCCCCCTCCCCTCCCCAAACCCCTCCCCCTCCCTCCCCTCCCCTCCCCCTCCCCCTCCCCCCCCAACCCCCCCTCCCCCCCCCTCCCTCCACCCCCCACCCACCCCCCACCCACCTGCCCCACCTGCAGGTGATCGCCGTGCTGGTGGCCAGCGGCCTCGACGGCCTGCAGCGAGAGCTGCCGCTGCCCCCGGCGCGGCAGACGGAGGCGCAGGGCGCCGCCCGGCTGCCGGGGACCTTGGAGGAGGCGCTGAAGGCCTTCGAAAACGACGAGGTGCAGCGGAGCGATCGGTCTTGGGGGGCGGTTTGGGGGTGGGTTTTGCGGGGTGAAATCGGCGAGATTGGAGGTTTTGGGGGGTGAGATCGGTTTGGGGGGTGGGTTGGTTTGGGGTGAGGGGGCGAGATTGGTTTGGGGTAGGGACGGGGGAGGAAGAATTTCCGTAGGAAGGATGATGTGTCCGTGTTGAAGTCAGCGCGAGCGGAATTTTCTGGACCACCTTTCTTTTGTGGTGAATGGAGTCACTGGGCTGCTTTGTGGCTGTCAAATGGAAACTGAACACCGAAACTAAGACATCGCAGGAGTCAGGCATCTTGTTCCCGGAAAAACAACACGCCGTAGAAATCGAAAAGCCTGCTTGGAGGGATCCCCGCTTTTTTTGGAAACACCTGGGGCATCTCCCTTTGTGTTTTTTTCCTTTCCCAACGACTGCAGATCGTCTTAGCCAATCCCAGGTTTGCAGATGATCTTCCCTGATTGAAAAGCACTTTCGTTTTTCTCCTGGCAGTGTCCCTTCCTTTCTCTCCCTTCGCAACCAACCGCTCTTCCCCTAATTTACGAATGAAACACGCGCCCAGTAAAAGCAGAGACGAACAGAAACAAAGCAAATGCCAGGAGCAAAAATACACAAGCCAACTCAGAGAAGAACACGGAACAGCACACAAGCCAGCCAACAACAAAACAACACAGCAACAGCACACACATATTAACAACATGACAACACACATATCAATAATAACAAACACAACTAAACCAGCACACCTCACATCACCCCTTATACACAAGTATACACATATATATATATATATGTATACATATAGACCCATTTACATATATATATATATACACATGCATACATATATGCACACATATATATATATATATATATGGTACCCCCCCCAGTACCCAGGTGTTGTTGCATCATGTATCAACACCATTGATATTTACAGTGTATGTTGATTGAACTCATGCATTTTCTGCAAGTCCATTTTGTGGACCAAAAAAACAAATAACCAAAACAAAAACACCAAACACCAAAAAAAGCAAAAAAAACAAAAAACCAAAAACAACAAACACAAACCAAAAACCAAAAAAGAAAAACAACCAATCCTACCCCCCACCATGGCTGGGATTCTTTGGTTTTTGGGTTTTTTTGGTCCAGGAAAATGTTGCGCAACAAATTCCAAATGTTGCGCAACATTTGCGGAGCATGAGAGGATATGTGAACCTTTGTGAAAGAAGACATGTTCTGGGTGAGAGGATATGTGAATTTTCTGTAGAGAAGAGTTATTGAAAAAGACATGTTTGTGTGAGATGATATGTGAGTCTTTGTGGAAGAGTCAGGGTTACAGTGATTCATAAAAGTACAGCAAAAGACAGTAAATATCATGTAAAACCACCATTTATGTAACACAAACTGTCCCAGCCATAGCCTGGTTTTATTCTACACAGGGTTCACTTTCCTTGGCAACTCTTTCACATATGCTGCCTTTGTTTCATTGAAAGAAGACATGTAAAAAGACATGTGTTGGGAGAGAGGATGTGTGAATTTTCTGTGGAAGAGTCTTTGAAACAAGGCATGGTTTGTGTGGGAAGATATGTGAATTATCTGTGGAAGAGCCTTTGAAAGAAGGCATGGTTTGTGGGGAAGATATATTTGAATTGAACTTTGTGTGGAAGAGCCATTGGAAAATTGAAAAAGGGCATGGGTTTGGTGAGAGGATATGTGATTCCTTGTGAAAGAAGGCGTGCAAAAAGACATGTTTCGGGTGAGAGTTTGGTGAGAGGATATGTGAACCTTTGTGTGTGAAAGAAGGCATGTAAAAAGACATGTTTTGGGTGAGAGGATGAATGAATTTTCTGTAGAGAAGAGTTATTGAAAAGACATGCTTTGTGTGAGATGATATGTGAATATTCTGTGGAAGGGTCTTTGAAAGAAGGGGTTTGTGTGGGAAGATATGTTAATTTTCTGTGAAAGAGCCTTTGAAAAATGGCATGTTCTGGTGAGAGGATATGTGAACCTTTGTGAAAGAAGACATGTTCTGGGTGAGAGGATATGTGAATTTTCTGTAGAGAAGAGTTATTGAAACAGACATGTTTTGTGTGAGATGACATGTGGGTCTTTGTGAAAGAGTCAGGGTTACAGTGATTCATAAAAGTACAGCAAAAGACAGTAAATATCATGTAAATCTACCATTTATGTAACACAAACTGTCCCAGCCATAGCCTGGTTTTATTCTACACAGGGTTCACTTTCCTTGGCAACTCTTTCACATATGCTGCCTTTGTTTCATTGAAAGAAGACATGTAAAAAGACATGTGTTGGGAGAGAGGATGTGTGAATTTCCTGTGGAAGAGTCTTTGAAACAAGGCATGGTTTATTGTGGGAAGATATGTGAATTATCTGTGGAAGAGCCTTTGAAAGAAGGCATGGTTTGTGTGGGAAGATGTGTGAATTGAACTTTGTGTGGAAGAGCCATTGGAAAATTGAAAAAGGGCATGGGTTTGGTGAGAGGATATGTGATTCCTTGTGAAAGAAGGCGTGCAAAAAGACATGTTTCGGGTGAGAGTTTGGTGAGAGGATATGTGAACCTTTGTGTGTGAAAGAAGGCATGTAAAAAGACATGTTTTGGGTGAGAGGATGAATGCATTTTCTGTAGAGAAGAGTTATTGAAAAGACATGCTTTGTGTGAGATGATATGTGGGTCTTTGTGAAAGAGTCAGGGTTACAGTGATTCATAAAAGTACAGCAAAAGACAGTAAATATCATGTAAATCTACCATTTATGTAACACAAACTGTCCCAGCCATAGCCTGGTTTTATTCTACACAGGGTTCACTTTCCTTGGCAACTCTTTCACATATGCTGCCTTTGTTTCATTGAAAGAAGACATGTAAAAAGACATGTGTTGGGGAGAGGATGTGTGAATATTCTGTGGAAGGGTCTTTGAAAGAAGGGGTTTGTGTGGGAAGATATGTTAATTTTCTGTGAAAGAGCCTTTGAAAAATGGCATGTTCTGGTGAGAGGATATGTGAACCTTTGTGAAAGAAGACATGTTCTGGGTGAGAGGATATGTGAATTTTCTGTAGAGAAGAGTTATTGAAACAGACATGTTTTGTGTGAGATGACATGTGGGTCTTTGTGAAAGAGTCAGGGTTACAGTGATTCATAAAAGTACAGCAAAAGACAGTAAATATCATGTAAATCTACCATTTATGTAACACAAACTGTCCCAGCCATAGCCTGGTTTTATTCTACACAGGGTTCACTTTCCTTGGCAACTCTTTCACATATGCTGCCTTTGTTTCATTGAAAGAAGACATGTAAAAAGACATGTGTTGGGAGAGAGGATGTGTGAATTTTCTGTGGAAGAGTCTTTGAAACAAGGCATGGTTTATTGTGGGAAGATATGTGAATTATCTGTGGAAGAGCCTTTGAAAGAAGGCATGGTTTGTGTGGGAAGATGTGTGAATTGAACTTTGTGTGGAAGAGCCATTGAAAAATTGAAAAAGGGCATGGGTCACGTCCAAGGCGTCTTTCTTCAATGAGGCAAACCTCCTTCCTCTGGTCTCCCAGTGTGCAAATCTGAGCTATTCTTCCTGCCTGCTTCTGCGGTCAAAGCACATCTGAACCAAGCCCAAACCTGGGTACCTGGGGGGGGGGGGGGTAGCATATATATATATATATATATATATTTCCCCCGGCCACTTCGGGCCTTTCGTCCTCCGTCGTTTATTTTTGGTTCCCGTCTCCCGGCGCCGTTGGCAGTTGCTGACGGCCAAGCTGGGGGCGCGCTTCGTGCGGTGGTTCTTGGACCAGAAGCGCGGGGAGCTGAAGTTCCTGGAGGAGCGGCTCGCGGGCAGCGCGCGGAGCGCGGAGGAGGTGACGGCGGCGTGGCAGGCGTGGGGGCGGGATGGGGGAGGGGGGGGGCTGTGGGGGGGGAGGGGGGGTTGGGGTGTGGGGTGGGTTGAGGGGTGGGTTGAGGTGAGGGGTGGGTTGAGGGTGGGTTGAGGGGTGGGTTGAGGGGTTTTGGGGGGGAGGGGCTTTGGCCGTTGTTCTCTTTTTTTTGGGGGGGGAAAGGTTGGTTGAGGCTTCGGGAGGAGGTGGTTTTGGAAAGTTGGAGTGTGGACAGTCCCGATCCCCAGAAAGTTGGACTTTTCGGGAAAGGTTCGGTTCCTGTTTGAAAGTTGCTGGGCAGTTGTTTCCACTCTGAAAATCACTCCCGGAGAGTAGTAAGCCAACGCCCAGAATTCGCTGCCCGAAGTCGTGTAGTGGTTCTAGCTGCACTTTTGCTTCCATCCTGGATTCCAATCTTTTAAAACAATGAGGGTGTATTTTGTAGGCACCCTTTTGGGGTTGGTTTTAAGGGATACGCACACACACAGAGGAAAACCCGGCATTTTTTGCGGGCCACCCAGTTTTTACATCCAAAATGGCCCAAACTTTTCCGGACGTTTGTTCCACCTCCCCCCCCCCCCCCAAAAAAAAAAAAAAAGAGAAAAAAAGACGCCGGGCGAGGTTCCATCGGGTCCAGAAATCCGGTAGTCTACAGCATTCTTGTGTTGAAGGAAGTAGAGGACCCACAGCATTCCACCCCGAAAAAACAGGGTCACTACTTGTCCCCACGCCGGTAAACAAAGCGAGTATTTTATGACTCTGACGAAGTCGGGCCTGAAGCCGGGTCTGAAAGTCCAATGCACAGGCCAAAGCCCGGATTTCGCGCGATCATCTCTTTTCTGGTCGGGAGGCGTAATCCGGCAACGGACTAAGGGCTTGAATCTTGATTGCTGGGATGGATCTTCAGCCTATACTTTTGAAGTCAAGGGTTTTCCATTGAACTCACACACATCTGAACACTTGCAGAGGGGTCAACAGCAAAGCAATCTTCTCCAACAAGCCAGAGTTCGTCACCCAGATGGATGGTGTTTTTTGGACCAAATCAGACAGATCCGGTCAGAATCTGGGACTCCAAAGGTCCCCAACAAACCCGTGCATTGTCACCCACCTCTTTCTTTTGGGCCGGTTTTTGTGGTCAACTCGGGCGAAGGAGTTGTACATGGAGTTCCTCTGAGCCTGGGGCGAACCGCTTGGATCTCCAGGCCCTTTGTCAGCTTTCTTTTGGGGTGCGCCTCTGTTCCCCGCATTCTGTTCGATTTCGTAGGTGAGAATCCGCCAGGAACTGGGAGGTCCGGAAAAAAAGGATGTTTCCTCGCCTTTTGCAAGCTGTCCCCGACTTGCTGGGACCAGCATCGGGACGGCAGCTGCGAGGCTTTTGGATATTCAGCTCAAGAAGTGTTGGTCGTAACCATGGTGAGATGTGAACCAACCCATGTCCCACTAAGCGTGTAAGCTGAAAGTGGGTTGAACATCCAAGCCCTCGACTGGAGCAAGGAAATAGCTGCGCTTTGCGACCAGTGCTTAGCTGGCTGCCTGCATTTGTTGACATGGCAGGCGTTGCAGCTTTTGGAAAAAGAGGCGCTGTGTGCTGCACGTTTGGGCGCAAGAGTGGGCCAACTTGTGCCCCGCAAGCAATGCCTGGCGCCCTCACTGAACGCTCTCGCTCAAGCTTATAATCTAGGACGGCATGACGTCGTCAAATTCGCCAAGTTTCTTGCATGAGGGAGTCCGCGGGCTGCTTGGCAATGTGAGGTCTCAATAGGACAGGCAGCACGCCAGCCGAAGCACATGTTGCCATAGACTGTTAGCCCTTCGCCCCCTCGCGCCGCGAAGATTGCCATGTCCACTTGGCAGGATGAGAGCCGATTCAACTCAGAAGGCGGGGTGTGGCTGGAGTTTCTGGCTACTAAACCTTTCAAGAATCCTGGGTCCCGCAAGTCGGAGCTTGGCTGCCACCCATTCTCGGCATGTGCTCCTAAAATGGGGCCCGGCTTCCCTCCAAAATCCTCTCTGAACCCCCAAAAGGGCACCGAGCCTGGCGCTTCGTCAGTTCGGGAGGAGTTTTTCAAAGGCCGTACATGACAGGAATCGGAAGCGGCGCTTTCGGCTTCGCGTTCTGCGGAGATATCATTCTGCAACTCCTGGTGCTGCACCAGTCATTTGCGAACATGTGACAAACATTCAGAGAACTCACATGTGTATATATATATATATCTATCTATCTATCTATCGCGACATACATCATATACACAGTTATAGGTATATACAAGTATATATATATATAATACATATGTATATATATATATGCACGAACACGGAATCTGCTTACACCCAGTGACAGGCATAGTATACACACAGTGACAAGGCTGTCAGGTTCCATGTTAATTGATGGAAGGGCACATGCATTGTGTACCAAAGCCTCCATGCCCACGACGGGGAGCTCATCAGAAGCATGAGGTTTCCACGGGGAGCTGCAGAGGCGCTTGCAGCAGCAGCGGGAGGCGCGCGTCTTCGTTTCGAACCGGGCGGGCTTTGCACGGGTGGATTTGCGAGGGGGGTTTCCGACCGTTCAACATGTCCTGATGGCTCAAAGGATGGCGTCATTGGCTTCAAAGCTAGCCATACTTTTTGCTTGTTTATGATAATTATGCTTCACACACACACATTTCGGACCAGGGGGTTCGGTTTGTGCCTTTTCCCAACCCAAACCGAAACTGCGCTTTTGGGCGGCCAGGGTTGTTTTGATGCAAGTGGTGTTTCGGGCCATTGTCCGTGTTGGCGTTTTGAACACACCTCAGTTGAGTCTCTTTGGGATGGACATGTGATCGACAAAAACCGTTCAGGCCACCGTTTCGGCGAGGAACACATATCGATGCTATGGGTGGCTCGTTTGCTTTCTTTTTTTGAGTTGGTACCTTTTTTTGGTGGTGTTAAAGGGAAACCAAAAGGAAAACAGAAGCCATCTTGGGGGTTTGTTGTTTTCGTTTCTGACAATTCCTGGGCTCATTCTCCCATTCAAAACCACCCCCCCCAGCAGATGATGATACCTCAGCCCCCAGATTGATCCCAGCAAGAGTTAATAGGCATCGCCGGTTTTTTGCAACCCTCCAAACATGAAGCGCAACAAAAAAGAGAGCTCGTCACTGTGAGCGTGCGCTTATTTCACATTTTGTATGGATATTTGAGTTGAACTCTGCTTTGAAAAAATGTGTTAGAATGCCAACTGATCTGTAATTAAACTCTACTGGAAAAGACCATCCCGTGTGAATTTCAATTGAAATAAGAGGATAAATCTAGCTTACATTCCATTCTAAAAATATCATTATGATTAGATTATTTTATGATCAAATTCTGCTTAGACTCTAATTGAACTCTATCTAGATTCTAAATTCAAGATATAATGTCCGCCAGGATTGGCTCAATTCTACATTTTAGGATTCAATTTCCGGTAGGGTTCGAAACAAGTATTCCCTTTTTGAGCCAAGTTCAATCCTATTCAAACTCTAATTGGAGAGCGGCCGTGGTGGAGATGTGAACGGAGTATGAACAATTCGACAATACGCTGTGTTTTACGGTGTTTTCTGACCATGTTAGTGCTGGGGCTAAAATAAGCACAATATTTTGGGACCTGTGAATTCTTTCCTCCAAGTATCTTTATCAAGTTCTACTCCATGTCTAATTAAAGATAATTAGACATAAGGCAAGAATCTAATCATCATCTCTAGTTTAAATTAGAGGTTTAATAGCAGTTATTCTATTTCCATTTAAATGTTGTACAATAGGTCGTTTCCAATGGAATTGTCTTCAATTCCTATCTGAAATTAAACAGACATTAATAGGGACATAATCCAATCAGCAGTTCTATGTTGCATTATAATGTCATTGTCCGTATAGTAATTGTCCATTCTCAATTGAGCATGTTCTGTGTTCCTTTCCAGCATAATGTTCTTTGCAAATCAAGTCAGTCAACATTTGATACTGTACCAAGGCTTAAATGCGAACTACGCAAGTGCACTTGAACCCAGCAGCTCCTGCGCACAGGCCTGAAACGGGCAAACGCAAATGCAAGAACCCTAGGAGAGCCAAACAAACAGTTTAGATCCGCGATCCAAGATCATAGAGCCACTCCCAATGGGTCTGATTTTTTTTGTTTTGGACAACTCGAGCTCAAGCTCTTTTGCACTTTTTGGAACCGTGGACGTAGTGTCGAGTTTTGCAAAAAAAATACAAACGCCGCCCAGAACCCTGACCCATGTCCCGGATCCTGGAACCACTCCGCGCTGGAAGCACTCAGCAATGGGTCGGAACTGTTTTTTTCGTTAGGCAAAAACAAACAAAAACAAGCTCAAGTTGTTTTTTGTGTTTGCATTTTTTGAAAAGTGTCAAAAACCTCGAGTCTTTCCAACCATACTAAAACACGGCCAAAAGTTCAGACCCATTGGCGGGGGCAGGCATGATGTAGGACACGTGCCGGATTCTTTTAGTTGTTTTTGGGTGATTTTTGCATTTCTCTCGAGACCCCGTGTCCCACATAAGGCAAGAGCAGATGCACATTCTTCCATGTTTCTCGCTTCCAGATACTTACTTTCATGGTCGGCTCAGGGTAACGTGTTCAGAACAAAAAGGGGCTATCCCTTACAAGGCGACCTCGCAAAAAAAAGAGCCGCCGCTGATAAACATAAACTCAACAATCAAAACATGGACCCAACACAAAGGGTAGCCCCCTTTAAAAGCTGACACTCCCAAGAATGGATGGATCTCCCCAAAAAAGAACAAGGATCCAAATTGGTGGTTTCAGGTGCTGGGACAGCTGCAGCGGCGCTCAGAGGAGGGACAGTGGCCGCAAGATTTGTCTCAAAGCAACGGATCGGCGCGAACCAGCTTGCCCAAAAGGAGCCAACTGTGTGGTTACCATTTGGTTTCCCTTTGAAACCAGCCCAAAAAGGGTACTCAAAACAAACACAAACCCATTTTTGGCTTTAAATATTTGGAATTCTGTTTGGGAGGTGCGAAAGAGTGCTTCAAAGGGAAAGCTTTGGGCTTTGCGTATTGAGACAGGACCCATTGGCAAACCCCAAATTGGTTTGGAACCCCGAGACAAACCCTAATGTTTCCCATTTGACAACCTTTCACTTGAAGCCCTTCCATTCACCTCGGGAGTAGCGCTGGAAGGTTCCTTCCGAACCTTCTGTGGCGATGATATTTTTGAGTTGGCTAACAAGTTGGACAAATTCCTCGGGCGAAGTCTGATGTCCACCTTGGAACGGGTCCATTTGGACCCAATCAAACTCACCAATTGAGACAGCGCACATGTCTGAGCTCAAACTCCCCAAGTCCGAAACATCTCTGAATCCCTGCCAATTTGACGACATTCCTTACTCCGAATTATCCGATTCTTTACATCCAAATCGTTTTCTCGAACTTCGTATTTTTTGGCTCAAATTTAAAGAGCTAGGGCAAACCGCAGGTTTGAGTCTTTGGTTCCGTTTACCAAGGTGCCATTTTAAGAACCATCTTTTGGAGTCACAGCCATATCCCTTACAGTTCCCTTAGAGTTGCCACAGTTTCTTCATGCATTGCCTTTCCTTCCTTTATATTCCACGAGTTGCAGCAATTGTCCTTTTCGACAATTCCCTTATATGGTTGTGGGTCAACACCAATGGTACCATTTCGGGGTAGGTGCACCCCCCCATTTTAGAACCTATTTTAGTGAGGATTGGGATGTTCACTGGGGGCAGGGGGTTTTGACCCATGGCCATTTGGGTCTCCTTCCCCATGGCCCCAAACTTGACCATAATATGGGGACCAAAACGGCGCCATCGTTTGATTGCAGGGTGGACTAAAAGGTCCAGTTCATCAACGAGGTCTTTCTGAAAATCTGGGGTCAAACTAACTGGGAGACTGACTGGGAGACTATTGCCTTAGAATTGCCCAACTTCACCATCTGGTGCTTTTCGCCCCCAGGAGAGGCTTGCGACCGCCAGGCCGTCAAGGACCGGAAATTCTCGAGGCGGCTAACTCTTTGACAGTGGCCCGTCGTTGCGTTGTTTTGATTTGGTTTGAGTGGTTCCTTTTTTTTTTTTTTTTAAATATATATTTATTTCGGTTTTTCCTTTTCTTTCTTTTTTTTGTCTGTTTGTTTGTTTGTTTGTTTGTTTGTTTGTTTGTTTGTTTATATACTTGCTTTTTTTTATTGTTTGTTTGTTTGTTTGTTTGTTTGTTTGTTTGTTTGTTTGTTTGTTTACTTGCTTTTTTTTTTCTCTGTTTGTTTTTTGTTTGTTTGTTTGTTTGTTTGTTTATAGTTTATATACTTGCTTGTTTGTGTTTCTTCTTTTTTCTTTACTTTTTTTTCCTGTTTGTTTGTTTGTTTGTTTATATACTTGCTTGTTCTGTTTCTTCTTTTTTATTTCCTTGTTGTTCTGTTTATTTATTTATTTGTTTGTTTGTTTGTTTGTTTGTTTTCTTTTTTTGTTTGTTTGTCTGTTTGTTTGTTTGTTTGCTTACATACTTGCTGTTTTGTTTGTTTTGTTTTTCTGTTTGTTTGTTTGTTTGTTCGCCTGTCTGTCTGTCTGTCTGTCTGTCTGTCTGTCTGTCTGTCTGTCTGTTTGTTTGTTTGTTTGTGTGTCTGTCTGTCTGTCTGTTTGTTTGTTTGTTTGCTTGCTTGTTTGTTTGTTTGTCTGTTTGTTTGTTTGCTTGCTTGTTTGTTTGTCTGTCTGTTTGTCTGTCTGTCTGTTTGTCTGTCTGTCTGTCTGTCTGTTTGCTTGTTTGTTTGTCCGTCTGTCTGTCTGTCTGTCTGTCTGTGTGTTTGTTTGTCTGTTTTTTTGTCTGTTTGTCTGTCTGTCTGTTTGTTTGTTTGTTTGTTTGTTTGGCAGAACATCTTTTTGCGCGGGGTTGACTTTTTTGAGGGACGTGCTGTCAGCGGCGGGGGCTGCAAGCCCCCGCCCTCCAGGCAGATGTCGTTTTGTTTTTTTTGTTGTTGCATCGCCATTTAAACAGGGCTCATTAAAAGATACATTTTGCCTATTTGAAACATGGGTTTTTCCACCAAAATAAAGGGAACCCACCATTTACAAGTTGCAATGTTCACGTGTATAATGTAAGGATCCCTGTTAACCTTGTAACCCTTAATTTGCGCTTTGGGGAGTGGTAACCATAGGCATGGTTGGAGGGTATATGGCAATAGCTCAAGTAAATGGAGGTCCTCCGGTAAGCTTTCAATTGGCGGTTTGGATTGGTGGCTTAGAGAGGCTTGAACCCCTGAATCTTGGCAACCCGCTCTAACCACCAAACCACCGGGCTCCAAACCACCAATTGGAGGGAAACTTCAATTGGGCATGGCGTGCTATGTCCCAGCAGAATCAATCAGCAGCCCCCTTGGTCGTGGAGTCGTGTTTGCAAGGGTGGAGAAGGCAAACCCTGAATACAGAGGATCAGCAATAGCTTACCCCCACATTTATGACTGTATGTGTTTTTTCAGTACTCCACGAGCCCCGTTGGGACCCCCCCCCCCCCCTTTTTTTGGTAATAATAGTGCTTCTCCCTTTGGTTTCCCTTTAAAACCACCAAGACAGGGGACCCTCAACAAAGGCACAAACACACCACACACCATTCTTGAAACGGGTCGCTTCCCCATTCACCCCATTGAAACGCGGTCTCCGTTCCAAAGGATCGAGGCGAGCCGCGTCAGTCTCGGTCTTGAGCGAGAAGGTCACACGAGTGTACCGACGCCGCAAGGCTGAGAGCCTTGCCATGTGTTGCAGTGACCTTGTTACTGAAACCAAAAAGGTTTCGAAGTTCTCACAAATTCGGGGAGGAAATGCCACGCATCGATCCGACAAGCAGCAAGAGGGGGGCAAAAGAATGTCTCAAGCTGCAAATGCTCTTTCATTGCGTGCATCTGAGGGCTTGAGAGGCTTCGCTGCTATGCTGCTTCCTGCAATGGTGTGCAAGAGGTTTATGCTTTGCTCCAAACAAGGCGCCTGTTCTGCACACCCGTGTTCAAGTGTTCTTTGCGCATTTTTGCTTGCGATGAGTGCGTTCGAGATGCCCCATCTCTATGATTGCCTAATATACGGTGACCCAATAATGTTTTTTATAGGCAATCAATCTCATATATATAGTACATACAAGAATCTATGTTGACAGTTTGACTTGGCAGTTTGACTTCTGCGCGACCACCCGGACTGAACTAAGTTGGCGAACATTATCTAAGTAACAAATGGTTGTTACCCCCATGCTTCGTTTTTTTCTGGTTTAAGCCTAGGAAGGTCGCTCCCTGGCTGTGCGGGCACAAACAAGCCCCCCGTGTTCTTCGCGGGTTTAGTCCCGGGTTAACATTAGATGTTGGGAGAGGAAGGGGTAAACAAGGTAAACAAGGGATTCAGGAAAGATTCGTTTGGTTGTACATTGCTCGTCATGGTTTTTTTTTTTTTTTTTTTTGTTGTTTCATGTTCGTTGCTAGTTCTTTTGCCTGTTGGGATTCTTCGCCAATCTTGAGACAACCTTTCACTCTTGGTGTGCGGTGAAGGTGGGCAATGGTTGTTGCCTTGGTCTCCTGGCTTCTCTGTTGGGGTTCGTTTTGCTAATCTACCTTGGGTCCTTGCCATGTTTGGTTTGCCGTCGACATGTTCTTTCTCAGCAGATGGCAATGTTTCGTGGCAAATAAGTGTTGAGTACGCAAGGGCATATCTTGAGGGGTCCTAGAGGGGCAACCACCTTTTTTTTGGGGGGAGGGGGTCCCCCCATTTGGACACACACACACACACAACACACACACACACACCCATTTGTGTTCTTTTCCATGCCCGCCGCTAGCCGTTGGCAGCGAGAGATCGGGAATATTTTCCGCGCCTCCTTTGTTCTGTCCGTCCATTCGTTTTGTGTATGGGAGACGGCTCCATGGGAGACTGTTCCATGCCGACAACGCAAGCGAGTGGGAACTCTCCACAGGAGTTGGATGAGATACTTGCAAAGGAGGCTTGGCATAGTGCGAGCCCTTTTTGCTTGTTTGTGCTTTGTCATTGTCAACCTTACTCTTTCGAAACCGCCCAGAACCACCTCTCCAGCGCGCGCGTTTGACGCGTTTAGGAGGCGACTCTCACCAAATCGTACAGCCGGACCAGTTCGCGCCGGGCTGTGCCCATCAACGCTTCCTACATTGAGGGCAATGGGACCAGAGAGGCGGGGCTGAGCTCGAGGGGTCCCCCCTTTCACTGCTTCCCACTTGGCTGTGGTTGTCAAAAATAGGGTAACCCCAAAATGGCTTGCCCTGGTAAGTGGTAACATAGAATACAATGGTTTAATTTCGACCCACACCCATTTGTGGCAATCCACAAGTCGGCCCACCAGTGATTTTCAAGTCCCTTTACACATGTGTCCCACTTGTGGCCAAGGCAACCCAAAAGGCTTCTCACTTTAGATTTGAGCATCTACCACCCGTTTTTCCGATGTTGTTCACTTCTCTGGAGGAACTCGCAACGCATTCCGAACTCCGGGATGTTGTCTTTCAGATCGCCGCCCATTCTTTTTGCCGGATCCTTTCGGTCTTCAGCTCTTTTTGCCCAGATCCGGGGGATCGGACTTTTGAAAACAGGAGGCCAGCCTTTTTTTTGCCAGATCTTTTTGGTCTTCGGCTCTTTTTTCCTGGATCCGGGGATCTCCTTTGGGATTTTTGAAACCAGCCTTTTTTTTGCCGGATCCTTTTGGTCTTCGGCTCCTTTTCCCCGGATGCGGGGATCCCTTGTTGGGTTTTTTAAACCAGGAGGCCAGCCTTTTTTGCCGGATCCTTTTGGTCTTCGGCTCTTTTTCTCCGGATCCGGGGATCCCTTGTGGGGTTTTTGAAACCAGGAGGCCAGCCTTTTCTTGCCGGATCCTTTTGGTCTTCTGCTCCTTTTCCCCGGATTCCAGGGATCCCTTTTGGGGTTTTTGAAACCAGGAGGCCAGCCTTTTCTTGCCGGATCCTTTTGGTCTTCTGCTCCTTTTCCCCGGATTCCAGGGATCCCTTTTGGGGTTTTTGAAACCAGGAGGCCAGCCTTTTTTTGCCGGATCCTTTTGGTCTTCTGCTCCTTTTCCCCGGATTCCGGGGATCCCTTTTGGGGTTTTTGAAACCAGGAGGCCAGCCTTTTTTGCCGGATCCTTTTGGTCTTCTGCTCCTTTTCCCCGGATTCCGGGGATCCCTTTTGGGGTTTTTGAAACCAGGAGGCCAGCCTTTTTTGCCGGATCCTTTTGGTCTTCTGCTCCTTTTCCCCGGATTCCAGGGATCCCTTTTGGGGTTTTTGAAACCAGGAGGCCAGCCTTTTTTGCCGGATCTTTTGGTCTTCGGCTCCTTTTCCCCGGATTCCAGGGATCCCTTGTGGGGTTTTTGAAACCAGGAGGCCAGCCTTTTTTTGCCGGATTCTTTTGGTCTTCGGCTCCTTTTCCCCGGAATCCGGGGATCCCTTGTGGGGTTTTTGAAACCAGGAGGCCAGCCTTTTTTTGCCGGATTCTTTTGGTCTTCGGCTCCTTTTCCCCGGAATCCGGGGATCCCTTGTGGGGTTTTTGAAACCAGGAGGCCAGCCTTTTTTTGCCGGATTCTTTTGGTCTTCGGCTCCTTTTCCCCGGAATCCGGGGATCCCTTGTGGGGTTTTTGAAACCAGGAGGCCAGCCTTTTTTTGCCGGATTCTTTTGGTCTTCGGCTCCTTTTCCCCGGAATCCGGGGATCCCTTGTGGGGTTTTTGAAACCAGGAGGCCAGCCTTTTTTTGCCGGATTCTTTTGGTCTTCGGCTCCTTTTCCCCGGAATCCGGGGATCCCTTGTGGGGTTTTTGAAACCAGGAGGCCAGTACCAGCATCAAGGGCCGGGTCTGGCGGGCGCTGAATAGCTACGTGGTGGCCAACGCCATGGCCTTCGTGGTGCTGGCGGACTCCTTCTGCACCTGCGCTTCGGTGGACGCCCGGGCGGCCGGCCAGGACCTCCGAAAATTTTTCAACCGGAGATGGCGGAGGGGCAGAGATGGCGTTCGTCGTTTATTTTTGTTTGGTTGGGGGAGGGGGGGACTCTTTTTTTGGGGAGGCATTTCTTTGAGATGTGGATGTGCAAGGCCAGTTTGGAGTTTGGAGTTTTCCTATCACTTACTTGAAAGTGATGCCAAAAGGGAGGATCGAGGAGACCTACCTTTGCCCAACACGCTGGCGGAGGGCAACTGAGTTGATGTTTAAACAGGCAATGGTTGTTGCAAGAACAGTCGGTTTCGACTTTTCTGGGTTCTTAGCAAACCAAAGGAACATCAAGGGGACATTTCCGTTTAGGTCTGCTTGCAACCATGTTGTCGAGCTACATGTTTAGAGTTTCTTTTTCTTTTGTTTCGATCTCCTTCCAACTCTTTCGTCCTTAATTTCTTTGAAATATATATGGCCATGGTTCAAAACCAATGGTACCATTTTGGGGTAGGCGCACCACCCATTTTAGTCTATTTTGGTGGGGATTGAATGGGATGTTCACTGGGGGTACGATTTGGGTTTTGACCCCTGGCCACTTTGTTAAATCAACGTCCGAGGAGCTTTCCGAAGCCTACAGTCTGATTGCCCGGGTTTGTCTTTGCCTTTACTGCGCCGAGCTGGTCTGCACCTTCTACGTCAGCGGATGTCAGGTCCTGCGAGAGTGGAGCCTCGGACTTCAGCGAAAGGGCCTTGTTTGATGTCCACCAAAGGGAACCAAACCACCATAAGCGTTGTTGTTGTTGTTGTTGTTGTTGTTGTTGTTGTTGTTGTTGTTGTTGTTGTTGTTGTTGTTGTTGTTGTTGTTGTTGTTGTTGTTGTTGTTGTTGTTGTTGTTGTTGTTGTTGTTGTTGTTGTTGTTGTTGTTGTTGTTGTTGTTGTTGTTGTGTTGTTGTTGTGCTGTTGTTGTTGTTGTTGTTGTTGTTGTTGTTGTTGTTGTTGTTGTTGTTGTTGTTGTTGTTGTTGTTGTTGTTGTTGTTGTTGTTGTTGTTGTTGTTGTTGTTGTTGTTGTTGTTGTTGTTGTTGTTGTTGTTGTTGTTGTTGTTGTTGTTGTTGTTGTTGTTCCCTCAAACCGGCCGTTGAGCCGCGCTTGACCCGTTCCCAATTCATTGTAAACACCATGCAAACTTGCTTCCCTGCTCAAAAAACACTGCAAAACGCGACAGATCGAGGCAGTGCCGCGCACAGACCGGAAACGCCCACAATTCACCGTAAATACCATGCAAAATTGGTTCCCCGCTCAAAAAGCGCTGCAAAACGCGACAGATCGAGGCAGTACTGTATCCATGCCAGGCACATGGTAAGAACACCCGTTGTTCAAGTGCACCCGCTCAGCACTGTATCCATGCCAGGCACATGGTAAGAACACCCGTTCAAGTGCACCCGCTCAGCACTGTATCCATGCCAGGCACATGGTAAGAACACCCGTTCAAGTGCACCCGCTCAGCACTGTATCCATGCCACAAATGGTAAGAACACCCGTTCAAGTGCACCCGCTTGCCAGATAAGCACATGGTAAGAACACCTGTTCACAGCCGCTCCCGCACTGCACATGCAATCGAAGGCATCCATTGGTAAGAACAGAACACCACGTTAGCACTGTATCCATGCCAGGCGAACACCGTTCAGTGCCGCTCACTGTATCCATGCCAGGCACATGGTAAGAACACCCGTTCAAGTGCACCCGCTCAGCACTGTCCATGCCAGGCACATGGTAAGAACACCGTTCAGTGCACCCGTAGCATCCACAAATGGTAAGAACACCCGTTCAAGTGCACCCGCTTAGCACTGTATCCATGCCAGGCACATGGTAAGAACACCCGTTCAAGTGCACCCGCTCAGCACTGTATCCATGCCAGGCACATGGTAAGAACACCCGTTCAAGTGCACCCGCTTAGCACTGTATCCATGCCAGGCACATGGTAAGAACACCCGTTCAAGTGCACCCGCTCAGCACTGTATCCGTGCCAGGCACATGGTAAGAACACCCGTTCAAGTGCACCCGCTTAGCACTGTATCCATGCCAGGCACATGGTAAGAACACCCGTTCAAGTGCACCCGCTTAGCACTGTATACGTTCAAGCGCACCCGCTCAGCACTGTATCCATGCCAGGCACTATAGACGATTTGGATTTTATATGGCTGTATATTTATGTAGTTGGTAAAGTTTTGGGATATATATATAGATATATAAAGGCTATTTGGATTTTAGATGACGTTATTTATATGGAGTTGCTAAAGTTTGAGGGTATTTATCTGTGTATGGACTATTTGGATTTTATATGACATTATGTATATTGAGTTGCTAAAGTTTGAGGGTATATATATATATATATGTATAGACTGTTTGGATTTTACATGGCTTTTTACATATGTAGTTGGTCTTCTCTGCTTTGGAACTGTGTTCTTCTTGCAACATGCAAAGTGTGTTCGTGTGGAACTGTAGTGTTTGGGACGCCGCTTTTGTGTAAAATAGCGTCCTGAGAAATCTCCTGCTTTGGATTCAGCGATGTTAGAATGCATTGGTTTGTGCAGTGCAAAAGCTCCTTGTCACGGGGCGGGGCGTTGGTGTGCGCGGCCAGACGACCGGTTGGACCGTTGTTGTTGTTGTTGTTGTTGTTGTTGTTGTTGTTGTTGTTGTTGTTGTTGTTGTTGTTGTTGTTGTTGTTGTTGTTGTTCATGATGATGATGATGATGATGATGTTGATGATGCTGATGATGATGATGATGATGATGATGATGATGATGTGGCAATAGAAGGACGACTTATATATATACATACACATACACATGCACATTCATTCAACAGATGGAGTTGTATTTTGAGCCAGTGAAGACAGAGCACGCATCTACTGTTTTACTTGATTGAGCTGTGAAATCATCAGATGGCTGGCTTGATCAGATAGCCGGCTCGATAGATATCTAGTCGTCTGGTACCATACGTTTCTTCTGTAGATCGGATCATTTGCATGCAGCATTTGCATGCTTTTTTGAGGACCCAAGCAAGTGTATGTGATTCACCTCATGCATTCGTGCTCGCCTTTGGGGGCTAGGCGGCTAATGCCTCAAGATGGAGCTGCTTGTGTGCAACATGCATGTTGATTTAGCCAACGGCAAGAGACCTGATTTTGCAAAACGAAGGTCTTGACAGTCCAGATGCGAGTTTATCTCTTTGTCGGCCTCAAACATATAGAATGCAATGGCCGGCCCCCCAAACAACCGGAGTGCAATGGTTGAGCAAACAGTTCAACCAGTTCAACACTGATATTCTGCTCATGGCATATATGACCTGCTCGCTTTGACTTGGCTTGCCTGAAGTTGCAGGCCACCTCAAGATGATATATGTCCGAATATGATGACTTGTTCGCAACATTTGTATTCTAACTGACTCGGGGAAATTATATATACATCGATGTATCTACTGAGTTCTTCGGCACGAACAAGGTATAAGCACAAATCGATTGCGCAACAGTTGGCCGCCTGTGCCGAAACGATTTCAGCCGCTGATTGTGGCTGATATTGGCTGATGCTGTTCTGGGTTGTTTAAAGGGGAAGCCAAAAAGAACCCAACCATTAGGAGGCTTCATTTTGAGACACACCCACGTGCTCACACATATTTATGTACAAGTTGTGCGCATACAGATGTGTATAGCTCTATATATATATATGTATAGATGCATTTGTATATGCACGTACTTGTCACACGCACACAAGTGAAGCCACAATGGGCATGAGGGTAACTTGCGTCCTATGCACTCAGCATGCAGGTACTGCCTCTGGGTCGGCTTGCGACCTTTACCATGCGGTTCAGTGTTGGCAGCCAGTGACACTTCTGGAGTTTTGTCAGCTGCGTGGCTCCCAGCCGTTACTTGGGGCTAGGGCTCAGGTCCGGTTGAAAACTCCCTGGCAGGACAAAGGACCGTCGTCTGATGCGAAAGCCGCGTTGGTTTTCTGAGTCTCGAGGGGTCCCAGGCACTTGCCTGAAGCTCGCCGGGCTACCGTCGATGCGCGCTCATACTCGTTTTCTTCTGTGAATTAAGTAAACATTCTATCTGGTGACGACATGGACATTAGTATGTCCAGAAGATTTCATGTAAGCTCTAGCAATGATTTCTTCTCTGCTCAGTCTCAAGGGAAGGAGAATCGTTTAATCCTGAACCGAGGATTCGCGTTGTCTGCTTTCTGCTTCCCGAGTCAATGTACCGGTCCTTTGTTCACCGCTGTCTGGGCAACCAGGCGCTGTGGGAGGGTATTGGGCAGATTCTCGGCACGCCCTTGTGCTGGCCATTCCTGCCGAATTGTGTGAGTGGAGCCGACAGATGCTTTCTCCCTTGTTTGATTTACATGCCCACCTGGCGGACAGCTCGATGCAGAGCCACGTTTCCTGCGCAGGCCGGTGCAGTTTGTCTCTTTCATGCCGAACTTTTGGCTCCCGGCTGATTGATGAAATTGTGTCATGCTGTACGTTTGTGCGTCATTCCTATGTTGTGGGCATCATTGCAACGGCATCACGGTGCGCTGGGTCCATCACTATGGCGCTGCCTGCGTCACCCTGATGCTGCTTGAATCTTTGTGGTTTCTCCGGCATCGCCATGGTACCGTGTGGTTGGTGCTGCGCAGCGTTGTGATGTTGCCAGTCTCTTATTTTGCGACCCAGCCTGTCGACACAACCGTCATGGCAGCCCTCTGCCTATGGGTTGCGTGCAAGGTTGCGGTGGAGGAAACATGTGAGCGAAACCTGTGGCCCGCGCCGATTTTTTTGTTTTTGCTGCCTGTCCCCCCCCCCCCGCCAATTGCCCCCCGCCCCCCCCAACTTTTTTCCATTAAACAATAATTAAAACTAAGAAACACATACACATACACAATAAAATATGCTGCCTGTCCCCCCCCACGTTTTTTTCTCCCCGTTTTCATTATTAGCCTCGAGGCTCGGGGTGGTGGACCTCCTCATCGTGCTGTGCGGGTTGGCGGAGGAGCTGGTGGCTGCGCTGGTCGAGCAGGACATCGGGCTGCCGCTGGGCCTGCTGCGGGTCTTCCGGTTGGTCCGCATCGCGCGGACCATCCGCCTGCTGAAGCGCCTGCGGATGCTCCGGGAGCCTTCGAGCGAGTTGGGGGGGCGTAGGGGGGAGGGGGGGGGGGAGGGGGGGAGGTGGCGGAGGGGGGGAGGGGGGGAGGGGCGCCGAATGTGTGTGTTGGCGCGGGGGTTTTGGATTTGGGGAGAAAGAAGCTTGGGGAAGGTTGGGAGGTTCTGGGGACAGTGGGAAGTTGTTTTTGGCAATCAAAACCCTGGTAGATGAAGGTCAGGGGAAGGCCCCATCAGGTTTGGCCATTTCAAATTTTCGCGTAGGTTGGGGTTCCTTTCACACCAGGCTTTGACTGACACGAGTTGTCTAAAGAAGTTCCAGAGATTCGAATCCCCCATTTTGCACCGGGGTCCACATTTTTAGAGCCACCCCAAAGTTTCCGCCGTACCCCGTTTTTTTCTCCCCCCCTCCCCCCTCCCCCCCTTCCCCCTCCCCCTCCTTTCCCCCCCCCCTCCTCTCCCCCCTCCCCCCGCCTCCCCGCGCCTTCCCCCCCCCCTCCCCCCCCTCCCCTCCTCCCTCCCTGATTCTTCAGGAGCTTTACAAGCTGGTGGTGATGATGGCCACGGTGTGCCGCACCCTGATGTGGTCCTTCCTGCTGTGCTTCATCGTGATGACGGCCTTCGCCATGATGATGGTGGAGTTCGTGAACCCGGTGGTGCAGGACACGAGATCTCGCTCGATATTTTTTTTTGTGATCCATGGGAATTTGGGCGCAGAAAGCCCATGAACCCCGTTGACCGGAGAGCCCGAGCTTCTTTTTTTTGGGTCCAAAGGAATAAGGAGGCGCAGAAAAAACCAACCGTGGGGAAGCGGGCGTTGGAGGTTCCAGGGGTGTGGGCCCAAAAGCTGTGACATTTTTTGGCAGGTTTGGCGGTTCTACTGCCTGGTTTCCAAGCGTATATATATATATATATATGTATATCTACACACTGTTATAACCATCTTGGAAGCACAAGTCAAGGGGTTTAGGGCGCTCATGTGAAGCACGGGATTTCGGGCCTGGTGGCTGCAATTTCCTCAGCAGCAAGAACACTCGCCCCCGAACACAGCGGAATGGAATGACATGGGCATGGCACGGGCTTGGTCTTTCACCAGCCATGGTTTTTCGGGTTTAGGGAACAGGATGTTCCCCAAGTTCCATTCCAACCTGAAGAGAGGACACGCCCAAATTGCCACCCAAAATGACCAGGAAACTGCGGCACACCCCGGAACTCAGTGTTTTGCCTGGCCAGGTGCTTTGGTGGTGTTCCGAGCAAAAAAGAACACGTATCCTCTACAAGAACCTGGGGTTCAAATGCCAAAGCCACTAATCCAAACCACCAATTTAGGGTTACCTGAGAAATGGACCAAGCAACAACAGACCCAAAACAAGAGCGCGCGCAAACGAGCAGTTGGGGAAGTCAGTGTTCCTTTTGGTCACTGGTCACCCTTAAACCAACCTGCTTACTGGTCACTCTTACAACCAACCTGCCTGAAAAAGGGATTCCCCCCCTTAAAAAAAATCACATACCCAAATGGTAAAGGTATGAGGTTTGGGTTTGCCTAAAAACAGAGACGCTTATTTGGGCCTGTCTTTTTTTACGAATCGGACTCCCAACATGGGAATCAATGTTCGCATTTTGGATTTGCGGACCCTTCTGGTTTCCCGGTTTAAAACAACCCCTTTTCCAAATTGGAGGGTTCCCCCAAGGTTGGACCCCCAAAACAGAACTAGATCTCGCAACTCAGATACTTCTCCCTTAGAAACACTCGTTTCCTTCCCCAAAAACAACACCGGGCACCCGCCCGCCGAAACCGCCTTTCCCTCGCCAAAACCCCGCCCTGAGCTTCCCCGAGCCGGGTCGCGTCGGCGCGTCGGGAATTGAGGAGCTCACGAGCGCGGGGGCCTTCGAGGACTGCCCCACGTGTTTGCAGTCCACCAACTCCGTGGCTTGGAGTTTCGGTGGCTCGGGGCCGCGGGGCTGGCTGGGGGAGGTGGGGTTGGGGAGCGGCGGGCTTTTTGTTTTCCATGGCCGCCAGAATGGAGGGGTTCCTTTTAGGGGTATCCTCAAAAAGAGAGAGACCCATGTGTGTAACGGAGACCGAATGGGGGATGAAAAATCCCACTTCAGATGGATGTTGGTGGACCCCTGAGGTTTTTGAAAAGGGGTGGGAAGAAGGCTGTGATAGGTTTTGATGCACTTTCTTTCCAACTTGTTCGGAGGGTGTGCCTTTCAATCGAGCAGAAGAGTGGGCGCTCTTGCCTCTTGCGCCCCGTTTTTTCAACTTCTCCATGAAGGGTAGACATGACACCCTGAGACCATAGGATCTTCAAGGGCGCTCAGGGCAAGCTCTGGGACAAACGTATGGAGTGGAGAGGACGTGTGGACGGATCATGTTAGGCCCAATTCCATTTCCCTTTTGGCAGAATGCAACCCTTCCAACAAGGGACATATCAAAAGGAACAGGTCGAAGGGTCACCTAGTGGCTCGCCTGGGATCGATCCTTTTGAAGGCCTGGACTTGTTTCCTTCGGAAACCGACGAGGAGCCCTCCATCTATGGCTAGATCGCGAAATTTTGGACCCCATGGTTTGTCTAGTCATGGTTTTGGACCCATGGTTTTGGACCCATGGTTTTGGACCCATGGTTTTGGACCCATCTATGGTTAATGTTCAAGGAATGTTGTTCCTTGGGTGATGATTGAAGGGGACCTGACCTCCCTAGAGACGGCATGGGCCATTTGCGACAGGCTGGCAATGTGGTGTTCATTGATTTAGAAGCCTTTGCTAGGTCCCCCAGTAGTGCCCTTTTACCTTTTTTTTGGGAGGGCTCCCCTACTAAAATAGACTACAGATAAAAGTTGGTACCCTTATTTTAGCCTCTCTACTGGAGGACCTAGCTTGTCTTTTTTTCTCCCCAAAAGCTTTGAGTAGGAGCACCACAAAGTGATCTTGTGTGCAAACGCGCGAGCGATTTGGGACGCACCCCCGCGAAGAAAGGGACGCCTTCAGGTGATGGACACCTAAGGCACGCCAAACAACTCCAGCTGACCTCTTCAAGCGACCTTTTGGAGAACACCGCACCCTTTAGTCATCCAACGCGGTTGGACATGTTTTCGGGACCCATAATATGATGTCCAAGGGCCCTTTCGGACCCATGTTGAAATTCATCATGGAGGTGTTGCTCTTGTTTTCCTTTACACACCACAAAAGGTGGGCACCCTAAAACTTAGAAAATCACTCGGTCCGAAAAAGGACACCCCCCCCCCAACAAGAATCCATGGACCTTGAGGCACCTTTCCTCTTGAAACAGACGCCGGTTTTCGCCTTCGCCGTTTCTTGTTCTTCCGGTAAACCGAGGTAAAGAAACGCCCAAAGAAAGGAGGAGCAACTGAAACACATAAACATATCAACCAATAGTACTAGAAACAAATAAAACCAACTTAACAATAAACATAAACCTATGAATGTTGTTTTTAGACAAAACTAAGACAAAAAGTAGGATAAAGATGAGGTCATGGATGCCAACTTGCTGCTGTTCCAGACGGTGGTGGCTGGCGACAGCTGGGGCAAGGTGGCCGTGCCGGTGATCCGTTCCTCCCCCGCCACCGCGGTGATCTTCGTGGGGTCCTTCGGCAGAAACAGGTGGATGTGCTCGATGGGTATGGATCCCAATCAATAAAATAGGTTCCAAAATGGGTGGTGCGCCTATCCCAAAATGGTACCATTGGTTTGACCCACAGCCATATGGGTATGGATCAGTTAAACGACCAGGAATTGGGCCGCAGGTTTTAGTTGTTGTTTCAATTCACTGGGGTTCTCCATGTTGGGCACCTATCTTTGACCCACAGCCGTATGGGTGTGCCTTTTGTTACCCTCTCTTGGCTGGTGTGAAAGGGAAACCAAACAGAAAGGTATCATTTTTGTGGGTCAAAATTGAAGAAGGGCAAACCGCACGTTTTAGTCTTTGGTCTCATTACAGCTTGGTGCCATTGAGGGATCCATTTTTTTGAGCCACAGCCGTATGGGTGTGCCTGTTGTCCGGGTTTTGCCCTTTTGGCTGGTCTTGAAGGGTCAAGCAAAAGGACAGCCATCATTTTGGCGGCCCCCCAAAACAGGATCAGCCTGGTGTGCCCGAAGAAGTTTTTTCTGGCTGGTGTTAAAGGGAGACCAAAAAGAACAAAACAACTCCGTTTCCCCCAAAAAACACAACTCCGGTTTTGGCCGCTTTTCTTGGGCGGCCGGGACCCAAAAACGACGCCTCCGGTTCCGGAACCATATAGATATTTCCAGGGGATAGTGACCTAGAACCTGGACCGTAATATAGTTCTATATATATATATAAATATGCTCACCCCCCCCTTGCATGAACTATCTTTGAGTATATTTTGTAGCCAAAAAGCCAAACACCTATCAATGTGGGGACTTGTCAAGTTCCATTAACTTGCAGTTCACTTTGAGCAAACACATATTTGGACAGGAATTCCTACTCAAATTCTAAATTGAACTAGACATTCAAAGTCGAATGACATTGCAATGAACTTTACAACACATCCTATGTGGAAAGGAATTCCTACTTAATTTCTAAATCAACATAGACAAATACGTCCTTCTGCAGTTCTATCACACGTCCAAGCAAGTATTTATTCAAATCTCACTAAACAATGAGTTTACATGTGAATTCTAATTAACATAGTGCATCATTTTTGAATTACTCCCTTGTTAAGCTCTATTCATAGAAAGGAGTGCTGTTAATAGTGCATGTAAGTTCTAATTGAGCTTGAACCATAATCCAATTTGGCATGAGGAGCCTTATAAGGAGCCTTATAAGGAGCCTTGAAGGGAGGTTTATAAGGAGCTTAACCAGGAACTGCATAAGGAGCATTTCAAGGAGTAGAAGGACCTTTTTCAGGAGCTTTACAGCAGCTTTTCAAGGAGCCCTATAAAGAGCTTTACAAGCATCTTTACAAGGAACTGTACGCACGGAGCTGTATAAGGAGGGTTTAAAGCTGCAGCTTTACAAGGACTTGTGAGCCTTATATGGAGCCTTCTCACTAGCAAGTAATCTTACAAGCAGCTTCACAAGGAGCCTTATGAGGAGTTTTATGAGGAGCCTTGCAATACTCTTTACAACGAGCCTTGTAAGGGGCGTTTATAAGGGCTTTATAAGGAGCCTTGAAAGGAGCTTTATCACAGCTTGGCTCAAGACTTGAAAGCCAAGTGTTGAATTTGAATTTAGCACCCAACATCTACTTGACGGTCAAATCCCTTCACTGTGGCTCCAAAATGGCTTCAAACCTGCCCAAAACAGGGATAGCTTAAAAAATAAGGAAGGAACAAAAGGAGGGAGCACAAAAGCAAAACACCAATTCCTCGACAAAACCAAAAAACAAAACCGCTGAGGGAACGTTTTGGTTTGAACAAGTTTTGTTGTTTGGTTTCCTCGAGTTGTTGTCTTTCTGTTTTGTGGTTTTTCATTTTGTTTTTCGAGCAACAACCAAAACAACCCTATGTTTTCTTTTTGTTTTTTAGTCATATTTGATGGACAACCAAAATCCCTCCCGAAGACCAAGAAACCAATGGTTTTTTGGTTTTAGTCAGATTTGATGGAACACCAGAAATAGTCGAGAAAACCAAACAACTAAATCTCAGAGGAAAAGATTTGGTTTGGCCAAACGTTTTGTTTTTGTTTGGTTTTTCTCGAGTTTTGTGTCCCCCGTGTTTGCTTGGTTTTTGAGCAGAACCAAGGCAATTTTTTTTTTGATCTCATAGATGACCGTGCTCGATGTGGTTCTCCGCTTAAGCTACACATTTTGCTAAAGACACCAGCCAGGGTTTTTGCCAACTTTGCACAATTTGTGTGATCCAAATCAAAAACGTCGTTCTTACAACAAAGAGCGCATAATTGCATGAATTTTTACACTTTTCTGAGGCAGAGCAACAGAGGCAGTTCATGGGGGCGGGGGGGGGGGTGGGTGACCGTGTGTATACATATATATATATATACATATGCAAAACAGGACACCCTGGCAGTGCATCTTGTTGTACATTTTGTGCGCTGGTATTGTCACCAAACAAAATGCAATACTATGTCAGCTGTCCTGATTTGGAGGGGGGGGATAGTGTTGTTGTTTGGGCTTTCTCGAGTTTTTGGCATTGAATGTGGAAAGTGTGAAACACCTCTAGAGAACCAAAAACACAAAGCAAGCCTATGTGAGCTGTCCTGCCTTGGGGGGAGGTGGGCACAAGTTTTTTTGTTGGTGTGTGTGTGTGTGTGTTTTGGTTTTCTCGTTTTTTTGCATTTTGTTTGGACAAGTGTGAAACATCTCGAGAAAACCAACAAACCAAAAACAAAAAAACGTATGTTAGCTGTCCTGACTTTGGGAGCGCGACTGTTTTTGCATTTGTGTGCCAATTGGACTTGCGTAGTTCACGTCCAAGCCTTAGTACAGCAAGCTAGAGATGGTTTCCTTTGATTGGTTTCCTTCCGTAGCAACTCATTCTTAATTTCAGTTAGATACTAAGTAGAACTTGGTACATATATGAAGCATAAATCATGAGCAAACAACTCAGAGGTCCAACATGTGTTGAATACATTGTGTTTAAATGTCTACTGATTTGTAAGGAACATTCTATTGAAAAGGAAATCCAGTGAACCATTTTTGATTTGAAATAGAATAGTCATTGTGTAAATTCTATTTTAAAATCGAAATGCATATTGGAGTCTTTCCTTATCAATTTCTATTTAGTTTCAGTGAGACATTCAGTAGAGTATAATAAAACAAGTAAGTAGAATTCAATCAGAAAGAATTCGGAGGTCCCATTTTGTTTTTCATTGGTCCCCATGGTCAGAAAACACTGTGAAACGGTGTTTTGTAGCGTTTTTAGTACTCAATTCCCATCTCCACCAACGGCCGATCTCTACAACTCAAGTTGGTTTGAATACGATTTAGATCGGACTCAATAAAGAAATACTTGATCAGAATCTCACCGGACATTATATCTAGAATTTAGAGTTTAGATAGAGCGTCTTTCCAAGTAGAGCTTTACCATTCAACTAGAGTTTAAACATAATTTGACAAGGACATACTCCAATCATAATTTCCTTCTTATATTAGAATATAGATTCGACTTTATTCTATTTTGAATGACAGTTTACACAAGATTATCTTTCCAATCGAGTCTCTTTACAATTCAGATAGCATTTAATCACAATTTATTCAAGCATAGGTCAGCTTGAATTTCCGCTAAACACGTCGCAAAAGCACACCCTCACAAAGCCCCGCTCTCTTGAACATGCAAGTCTATGTGAACAATTCTTGAGACAGCTCGAACTGTGCAGAAAAAAAGCGCACTCCCACAGCGTCCTGATCTCTATATACATGCCTGTATATTCGTTTTCTATGCATATTTCGTGTGGGGTTCTCAAATTTCTGCAGAGCCTCAAGATGCTCGGTTTTCCGTTGGGTTTGCCTGAAAAGCGAAAGTCAAAGGGGTACCCAGCCTCAAAAACAACACGCGCAAGGGGGTCAAATCAGGAAATTCCGCAGCACAGCAGGCGACCATGAACCAGGTATCTTTTACCTTTGGTCTTGACCATGGATGGCAAAACCCCCCTCGAGAATGATCTCGCTGGTCTCTGTCGAGACATTTCGGGGTGTCGGGAGCGAACCACTTGGGATCCAAAAGGAAACCGCAAGGGCTGGTTCATAGTGGTCATTCCAACTCATTCACTGCTGAGAACCAGCAAGTTACTAGGTTATATGGCTGTCCCTTTTTGAGGGTACCCCTTTGTCGTTTATGGGACACCAAAAGCCGAAATCCCTTTTGGGGTGTCCAACCGAACGACGAGCCACCCGTATGGTTCAATGCCCAGGTCGTTGCTCACGCTGGTCTTCGGCGTGCTCAACTTGATCGTCGCTGCAGTTCGGCGGAGGTGTCAGACGTTTTGAGAAGATAAGGGAACCCCCATGAGAATGATTGGCTTCTTGAGGTCTTATCTTGTATTATTATTGCTGTTCTTATTTTGTGTGTGTTCTTATTTGAAAACAAGCCTTTTATCTTGGCAAAGAAAGAGAACATCGTGGGATATGAATGGTTGAACGGTTGGTTGCGCTTCGGCTTCCCTTTGACCACCGGTCAAAACTCACTTCGCGGGGGGCTGCTTGGCTGCTTCTCACGATTGAGGGTACCTTGTTTTCGGGTGGCGAGAAGGGGAATGCACAGGGAATGCGTCAGAAATGTGTTTGTGGGTCCCCGCATTGGTACGAGTTACTGGAGACACTTGGACAGTTGGATCTTGTCTGCCATGAGGTTGTTCCTCTTAGCATTTATAGCCAGAAGTCTGGGTGCAACGAGTTGCCAGTTTTTCTTTTCCTGCCAGCTGGGTGGTTCGCAGAGGTATCATTTCATGTAGGAATGCACCAACGCATCGGCCAACGTTAATGCCGGGCGACCAAAAGAACAGGAGCGCATCACAGGAGATTGGAACCAAGCGGTTTAGGCTTTGAAACCGTTGTTTTTCTCAGATGGCTGAAAGGTGTAGGGGTTCTAGTAGGTTCTAATTTCAAGCAAAGAAGGGGTGGGTGAGACGCAGATGTCCGGCCAGGTGCTGTTGCAGGGTGCTGTTGCAAGGTGTTGTTGCAGCTCAGAGTTGCAGGGCGCTGTTGCAGGGTGCTGCTACAGGCCGTGTCTCAGGGTTGCGCAGGGTGATGCTGCAGGTCGAGACTCAAGAGTTGCGCTGCTGCATGTTGCAGTTGCAAGGGGCTGCTGCAGGATGCTGTTTGCAGGGTGCTGTGGCAAGGTGCTGCTGCAGGGAGCTTCTGCGGGCTGAGGCTCGCGTTTTCACAGGTGCTACTGCAGTGCTCCTGGTTGCTGCTGCAGGGTGCTGCTGCAGGGCGAGACTCAGAGTTGCGCAGCTGCCGCAGTTGTGCAGAGCGCTGTTTAGGGTGTTGTTGCAGGGTGCCGCAGGCCGAGATCCACAGGGCACAGACGCAGACTTCGAGTTGCGCAGGCTGCTGTTGCAGGGCGCTGCCGCAGGCTGCAGTTGCAAGAGTCTCCCGGCGCGCCGGTGCGCCGGGCCCCGGCGCAGTGGTTTTCGCGCGCAGTCTTCCCGGAGCTCGTGTTGGCGAAGCTGTTTGAGAGGCGGCGCTTGGAGCCACTCCACCAAACTCGGCCAGCAAGCGCCAATGTTGCAACAATATCATCTGCCGGAGCATTCTATCGTGATGGCCGCTCTGCCGGCACGGCAAGCAAATCCACCAAAACATTGGCTCTGATAGGCGGCATGTTCGCAAATGCCAAGGTTGCAATATTATCTATGCACATTTCGGCGACGAATTGCGGCTGTTGCGAGACTTTTTTGGCCGCTCGCTCTTCTGCGTGGCGTAGCTCACGTGTCGCTGTTCTACTTGTTCGTAAACCTCCAAATCGTGAGCCTAAAAACAAAAGAAAGCTTCGCCGATGGGTTAAATTTGCGAGTGTTAGCTATCCCCTTAGCTTTCCATTTAACCCACTAACTTTTACTTAAGCTGTTAGCAAGGGATTTGAGGACAACCCAGCCAAACGGGTCCCAAATTTTTGGGAACACGGATCTGGGCTGTGAGTTCGGAACTCCAAGAAAGACGTTTTTTTTAAAGGGCGCAGCCGAGGTGGTGGTTGACACCTTCGCCGACGCCCGTCTTCATGATGTGGAAGCCTTGGCTGAGGAGTTGGAGCACGACCTTCAGAACGACAGGCGCGGAAGCTGCAAGCTTGGTGGAAGGAGCAGTGGCCGTCGTCCGGGGGAAATCAAAAGACGTGGGCACGTCTTCTTTTTAAGCGACTCTTTACCCCAAACCCCCGGTTTTTGGGGTAAACGGCCAAGCCTTTTCCCGTTCCGCTGGTTGAAAGGCCTCCTGGGAGGTTTTTTTGGCGTGGGCTCCTTACTCGGAAGCCTCTACATGATAGGCCCCTAGGTGGTTGCAAGCTGGGGTAGGTTTCTGGCATTCGCTTTTCCCCCCCAAAGCAAACCTCATGTTCCCTGCAGGGCGCGTGGGGTTTCAGAATCCCTGTTGTTTCTATGCGGACGTTGTTCCTCACCGAGTGCGCATAGGATGCTTCACTTGCACAAACACACACGTGCTGGCATCTCCCTCTCTCGCTCTACAATCACGTGCGCACATATAGGCGTATATGTAAAGATATGCAAAATCACACACATATGCATACGCACACGTATACACATGCATACACATGTTCACAAGGTGTTTGGTTCAACACACGTTTTCTTTCATTCGTTTCGAAGTCTACTTTTGCCATAGCTCGTTGAGAGTTGGGCCCGGGGTCCTTGTGGCATCTCTCGGTGCGCTCGCACTCTCGAAACCCCAGGGTTTCCATGGGCCCCTCTTGTTTGTTGTGGAACTCTTTGGAAAAGAGCCAGAAGGAAACCACCCGTTCTGGGGTTCCCCTTGCTTTGGATGGTCATCCATGGTCAGTGGTCAGATTGATTCTCTGCTGGTATTCTTTGTTCACTTTGATCACGGTCATTTTTTTGCCACGACCGTTTTTTTGGTCGCGTTTTTGTTATGTTGTTTGTGTTTATCGTTGTAGGGAGCAGCTGGAAGAGCTCTTCCAGCGCATCGACAAGGAGGGCACCGGCGAGCTGACCTTGGATGCGCCTTCGGCTGGTCTTTGGATTTCCTGGTGGCTTCTGGTGTCCCGATGGGCGTCCAACCGTTTTTTCCCTCTTCTCGAATTCTTTGATGTCTGTTGGTTGTGGCTGGGATGTTGGGCGGAAGTTGAGGTTTTCTTTGTCTGCTGGGATGTAGCCTGCCAACCACAAATCGGACCAACAGTGCACACTAAACGTGCACCTAGGAGTTTCTAACCATTCTTTGCAACCATTCCGTTCAAGAGCAATGAACGCATTGGTTCTTGTGGTGGTCTGGGAAGATTCGGATGGAAAAGAAGGGTCGTAAACCACTGGAATGTTGAGATGTATGTTACAAGAGGACCCGTCCAAGTTGGCTTCCAGAAAGATGCAATTCGTGAGTGGGGCCTTCAGCTGACTGGTTCGGAACCCCACATGTTTACGCAGGTTTAGGTGGCCCGTGCAACACCCCAGTGAGGCCGCGTGGGTATTTCGACAGCGGTCAAAATGGTGGCTCTGCCTTTTGATTTCCGTTTCAGGCAGCCAGTTAAACCAGCCTCTTAAACCAGCCTTTAAAACCATGCCTTGGTTTCCTTTTAACCAGCCATTAAAGGGGGCCCTCCAAACAGACAAGCTCAGTCGCCCGAAGCGCATGGGGACATCGGTTCAGCGCGGAGCAGCTCGGCGCCGATTGAGGAGTTGATGGCTGGCGCACGCAATGACGCCGTTTTCCAAAGCCGCTTGAAGGTGATGGACATTGACGAGAGTGACTTACACCAGCCACCTGGCTGTGGAAACAGGGACAGAATGACTTGGGGGGCAATTTCAAGCACACCTTGACATGTACCGAGTCGAGGCAACCAATCCCAGTTATGTTATTGCACGCGCGAGGCCATGCATACACGCATGCACGCATACACACAGACACACGGACACGCAGACACAGACACACACATGCACACGTACACACAGACAAACGTACACGAATGCCCACACACACAAACAGACACAGACACATTCACATACAGACATACATGCATACACGGGTACACGAATATGCACAAGCGCACACACACACACACCACACCACACACAAACAAACACACACACAAACACACACACACACACACAAACACACACAAACACACACAAACACACACAAACACACACACACAAACACACACAAACACACACACAAACACACACAAACACACAAACACACACAAACACACACAAACACACACACACACACACACACACAAACACACACAAACACACAAACACACAACACACACACACAAACACACACACACAAACACACAAACACACACAAACACACACAAACACACACAAACACACACACAAACACACACACA